GTGTGCGAGCAAAATCTCATCTGGGGGGTCCAGGCTGGCGCTGGCTGGCTCTCGCTCGCTCGCTCGCTGCGCTTCTGATGGCTCTTTTGATGAGCTGCTGAAGCACGAGAGTCCCAGCAGGAAACGGTAAATGAGATGTTCTCTCGCGGCACGTGCTTGGCTGGCTGGCTCTCCCCTCTTTTTATGAAGGATGGCAGGGCCTGGAGGCTGGGCCTGTACGGGGCCCATCCCAGCAGCTCCGATGCTGGCGGCGAGGAACTGATGGAAGGAAGCCAGAGGTGGGAAGGTTTGCAGGGCGGCAACAAACTGGTGTGGCAAGGAATGTGTCCAAGAGATGCCCCGTTGCCCAAGCTTCTCCCATCGTGCCGGGAGACAAACCTGGCATTTAGAAGCACAAGGGAGCCAGTCTCATTCACCTCCAGCTGTATTGTGAAGCAAGTCATGAGGCTCCTGAGCATGTCCAAATAGTCCCAAAGGGGCTTTTTCAAAGGTAACTGGACTTCGTTTGTTTTTTTTCTCTTGAAGAGGTTTTGCTCCTCATCCAAGAAGCTTCTTCAGTTCTGACTGAATGGAGGGGAATGGGAGCATTTATATTCCTAAATCTTTCCATTTCCTACCATTCTGTCAGAACTGAAGAAGCTTCTTGGATGAGAAGCGAAACGTCTTCAAGAGAAAACAAACAAACAAAGGAAGTCCAGGGGTCTTTTGAAAAAGCATCTTTAGGACCATCCTGGCCTGGATGACTGAGAAACTCCAGATAGCCCAGGGGTCAGCAACCTTAAACCCTCAAAGAGCCACAAAGGTCCTAATTGGAAGCCCCCCCCTCAATTCAATTCTGGAGCCAACCGGAAGTCCGGCTCCCCCACCATAGAGTCTCCTCCTAGTGTGGTGTCCTTTTTCCTCTACTTGTCCTAACCAAAAGCCCTATCAACTGTGGAACTGACCAGAAAACCCACCCCTTACCATAGAGTCTCCTCCTGGGACGCCATGCTTCCCCCCCTTCTCTTAACTGGAAGCTCCTCTCCAAATTGTGGCGCCGACCAGCGACAGGGAGCCGCAGCAGAGGGATGAAAGAGCCACATGCGGCTCCAGAGCTGCGGGTTGCTGACCCCTGAGATAGCCCATTCCGTTGCTCTGTTGGGTCTTAGAGCTCGAGAGTCCACCGGTGGATGGACGGAGACCTGAGTTTGGCAGAACAAGATCACTTTGGGTGTGAGAATTTCCACAAAGCCCAGACTAACAGTTAGCAGAGGCAACAGACACACCCCTCCCCCAAATGCATCTGTATGTATTGTGGGGGAAAAAAAGTTCAGAAAGACTTTTGGGGGGACAACTCAGTCGCCACCTCCCCGAGAGACCCCCGAGATTGCTGGCTGAACTGGGCAGGCAGGCGCTACAATCCAGGGAGGTTCAGTTCCAGGCTCAGTTCTTGCAAAGCACGGGGGATGAGGGTGGGGGCTGATCTCCCCCTCCCTCCTCCTAGCAAGGATGTGATGGCACGGAGTGTGAACTTGGGCATTTTCCCCCTCTTTTCGCTGTGCCCCAGTTCCGCTCGCTCGGAAAGCCGCCAATCTAGGCGCGGCCTCTCCGGAATGGCCCTCTGAATTATCGAGATGTGAAAGGTTTATTATGCAAACATAATAAACGTAATAAGGGATGTGTTTATTATGCAAACAGCAACTGAGTTATGTGTCCTTTAAGACTACTAAATAGTTTTTAATTACTGCTATATCAGTAAATCCCATAAATATGCAAATGCAATTAGTTCGCAAAATAGGCCCTAAATATCTTTATTCCTCTCCAACAAAGTTCTTTGAAGTTAATCACCAGCTTGCTTTGTTCCTTCCCCTGGCAGTGGAGCCGAAAATGACAGGAATTATGACAGATGTACAAATTTAGGAGGGAGGGGGGAGGAAGGCAAGCTAGCCTCCCCCTTTCTCTCCATGCCACATCTGGACAGGCGAGGAAGGGGGGAGCGGGCAGGGGGGAGAGGAAGAGGTGGGCGACAAGGCCTCCCCCTCCCCAAGGGAGGAGGATTAGGTTGGATTATTGCTAGCAGAAGCGGCATCGACAGCTCCCCAAGTGGAGCACCGCAAACACGCCGAGGGGGACCTGCCAGGAGGTATTTGCTGATTTACATGGCTTGTAGGTTGCCCCCCCCCCAGCTCAGAAGACAACAAGGTAAACACACAAGCCCCCCCCCCAGGAAAAAAGTCAGTGCATTAGCACTTTTTTCTTTTTAATGGGCATGTATCAAAGGCTGCTATACTGATTCTCCCATTTGTCAGGCACACGGATCCTCCCCCCAAACTTTCCACACCACGAAGCCTGTTGCCTTTGGGGAGGGGGGGTTTCTAAAGATATTTTAACTCTTTGGCAAACTTGGGGAGGGGAGGGGCTCCAGCCTTCTTGGGGGTACAAAACGGGCGTGTCCAGAGCCTGAACTTGAGCGTGAGAAAGGAGGATCGGGATTGATTTGGGTTTCCTTTTGAAGCTCGTTCCAACGCAGGGCCTGAATTTTATACTTGCAATTTAAAAAAAAAAAAGGGTTGGGGGTCTGAATAATGCAAAATGCCAGGGCATCTCTCTGAGTCAGTGGCTGAAGACGCACCACTCAAGAGAGGGAAGGCTGAAAAAAATGTAAAATCTTGTTCTCTATAATTCCGTTCACGCCAAATGTCTCTTAATTCCATATCCTCCATCATGTCAAAAAAAAGTCTTAGGCAGTCTGGATCGCAATTTAGTAAATTGTGCTATTCTTTTCTTATCAATACTAGGGTCTATCACTCCATTCCAATCTCCCATCAATATACATGAATTGTAATCCCAATGTAGTAATTTTGTATGTATCAACTTATAAAATTATTTGGAGAATTGGGGAGTAGAGTTCCATGAGATGTTGGCCTGGAGACGAAAACATAGGAAGAACGGCTGAAGGATTTGGGTCTGGCTAGTCTAAAGAAAAGAAGAATTGGGGGTAGCAGTAGTCCACTATTTGAGGGGCTGCCACAAAGAAGAGGGGCTCAAATCAAGGGTGAAATCCAGCAGGTTCTGGAGAACCAGTAGCAGAAATTTTGAGTAGTTCAGAGAACCGGCAAATACCACCTCTGGCTGGCCCCAGAGTGGGATGGGAATGGAGATTTTGCAATATCCTTCCCCCAGGAGTGGGGAGGGAATGGGGATTTTGCAGTATCCTTCCCATGCCACACCCACCAAGCCACACCACGCCCACCAAGCCACGCCCACAGAACCGGTAGTAAAAAAAAATTGGATTTCACCACTGGCTCAAATTATTCTCCAAAGCATCGGAGAGCAGGACAAGAAACAACAATTGGAAACTAATCCAGGAGAGAAGCAACCTGGAATTAAGGAGAACTTTCCTAACAGTGAGGACAATGAACCAGTGGAACAGCTTGCCACCAGAAGCTGTGGGTGCTCCAACACTGAAGGCTTTTAAGAAGAGACTGGACAGCCACTTATCAGAAGTGGTATAGGTTCTCCTGCTGGAGCAGGGGGCTGGACTAGAAGACCTCAAGGGTCCCTTCCAGCTCTATTTTATTGGAAGATCTGCATAACTCTCCCTAGGTTCGCTGCAGCATCCTGCTCTTAATTCAGGCAACCGGTGGAGAAACCGTGCCGGGGAAGTTCTCTAGAGACGACGGGCGATGTCTCCCCCGCAACCCGTCTCGCCCCCTCGTTGCTTTTTGGGCTGGAGGCTCGTGGGACGAGTGACCCCCATTATCAAGCCTGTCTGGCCCGCAAGACGGGAGAGAAACCCGGGAGACAGAGACGGGGGCTCTCCGCGGCTGTCCGGAGATCCCCGGTCCAGAAACGCTTTGAGCGCGAGGCAGTCTGCCGGGCCAGAGAGGGTGCGCTGGATGACCTCGGAGGTGCCGCCGGTCTTCCCCGGCGGCTTTTCCTTTTTAAGGGGGAGGCGGGCAAAGGCAGGTTCCCATCGAACAGGTGCAGCGGCCCTTCGGGTTTCCGGGAGCGCTCGGGAGTCGCTTCTTCGGGCGGGACAGCTCTGGCCGGCATCGGCTCCAGGACGCTCCCCCCGCCTGGCACGGTCGGCCCTGGTCGGAGGGCAGGCAGGGTTCCGTCTCGCCCCGCCGTAGCCGTGCGGTGGGCAGGGCGGGGGACCCGGAGCGCCCCGAGAAGCACGAGGCTAAGATCAAGTTGAGGGGCACCGGGAGGTCATCTATCCCACCCCTGCAAAAAAAAAAAAACTCTGGCCACGCCAAAAGGGCCGGCAAGAGGCACCCCGAGCTCGGTCCGTGGCTCAGCCGCTCCTCGGGGGCTCCTCCAGCCCACCAGAGTCAGAGAGGGCCGCGTGGGAGGCACAGGTCGGATCACCCCGTGGTGCCTTTTCCTTCCACGCGCCTCCCCTTAACTCTGAGCCCGGTTGGGACTTTTCTCTCTGCGGTGTCCCAGGCTGGGAAGGGCAGAATGGGACCTGGAGTCCCTTTGGAGGGGAGAAAAGTTTAAAAAGTTTAAAAAGTTTTTTTTTTTTTTAAAAAAAGATCCAATCTCGACCGGTTGGACTTCGGCCTGCTTCAGAGTTGAAAGCAGGTGTGTGTGTGTGTGTGTGTGTGTGTGTGTGTCAACAGAACACGCCCCCGGCTCCGGATTGGCTGTCAGAGTCCCCAGTTTTCCCGCGCTACGGAGGGAACCCCGCCCACCGCGGTCACCTGACCTCCCCTCGACCCGTCTGCGCCTTAGATTGGAAGGACCTGCCCGGCGCCTTTCGGGCGGGGGGCGGCTGCACCGTCTTCAAGAACGGCGGTGGGCGGGGCCCTGAGACTCCACGGAGGGCGGCGACGAGAAGAGCCTCCGCTAGGGCGTGGCCGGCGAAGGGGGCGCGGCCGTCGCGAGCCAATCGGCGCGGGCGCCTTCTCCGTGGGCGGGGCCGAGGGGGCGTCCGTTAAAGGGCGGAGCCGCATCCTCCTCTCTCCCCCCCCCGGGCCCCCCCTCTCTCCGTCTCCTCGGGTCCGGCGGGCTGTCCGGTGGGCGAAGGGCCGGAGGAGGAGGAGGAGGATGACGGCCGAGCTACAGCAGCAGGGCCAGGAGGAGCGGGCCGCGGCCGGCGGGGCAGCGCAGGTGAGGCAGCGACCCCCACAACAACCCCGCGAGGTGGGCCAAGGGCGCGGCTCCCCTCCCCCCTCCCGGGCCTTTCCCCCAGGGGGTGGGGGAGGGGGAGGGGAGGGGTCCCTCTGCGGGGCCAGGCGCGCCCCCTCCCCTAAAGCAGCCTCGGACCCCTCCCCCCCCGGGGACCCCCCTCTCTAGTTGTGGGGGGGGAAGGAAGCACCTGAAGGCTGGGGAGGGGGGAGGGAGGGAGGGGGGCTCCCCTGCAGGACCCCCCAGGCAGACCCCCCCCCGCTCAAACAGGCTGGAGACCCCCTCCTCTTAAAATAAAGACCCCCCTCCATCATCCCTCACACTTTCACTCTGGCCCCCTTTGGTGGAACCCCCCCCATCACCCCCCCCACCCTCAGGAAGCCCCTTCTTTGACCCCCCCCCTTGCAAGGGAGCCCCTGGGGGTCTTCAGAAGGATGGATTGGCTCTTTCTCTGGTCTTTCTTCTTTCTTCTTTTGTATTTTGCATTGTTCTTTTTTTTTGGTGTATTTCTTTTGTGGGTTTTTTTTGGTGTATTTCTTTTGTGGGTTTCTTTTGTGGGGTTTTTGTGTGTTTCTTTTTGGGGGTTTTGTGTATTTTGTGAGTTTTTTTGTGTGTTTGTTTTTTTTGTGGGTTTTTGTGGGTTTCTTTTGTGGGGTGTTTGTGTATTTCTTTTGTGAGTTTCTTTTGTGGGTTTTTGTGGGTTTCTTTTTGGGGGTTTGTGTATTTTGTGAGTTTTTTTGTGTATTTCTTTTGTGGGTTTTCTTGTGGGTTTTTGTGGGTTTCTTTTTGGGGTTTTTGTGTATTTCTTTTGTTTGTGTTTCTTTTGTGGGTTTTTGTGGGTTTCTTTTTGGGGTTTTTGTGTATTTTGTGAGGTTTTTTGTGTATTTCTGTTGTGGTTTTTTTGTGTATTTTGTGGGTTTTTTATATTTCTTTTTGGGTTTTTTGTGTGTTTCTTTTCTGGGTTTTTTGTGTATTTTTTTTGTGGGGTTTTTTGTGTATTTCTTTTCTGGGTTTCTTGTATATTTCTTTTCTGGTTTTTTTGTGTATTTGAAGCATTGACATTGCCATGCAGCTTTGGTGGCCGAAGAGAAAACACACACACACACACACACACACACACACGGCTCATCCTGGTGGACAAAGTCACAGTCGCCACATTGGAGTTGGGATGAGGGAGCTGCTGCCTGCGACCTGTCCGGGAATGCAGTTTTATTCGCTTTATTATTTAGTTGCACGGTTCCAGAAATGGGAGTAGCGGTTTAAAGGAGATTGGGCACTTTTTGTACTGATTGGGACCCAATACAGAGTTTAATCGAGTCTCGTTGCCATTTATTTAAGGTGTATGCTGCTCATCTCGCCTAGAGATAACTCTAGGCGGTTTACAACAAGTAAAAAGCCACAAGATGAAACCTTAAAATATTAGAATAATAACTTTTAACGTTTAAATGGACTTAAAATTGACAAAGCAGGGAGCAAGATACCCATAGGGTGGAGGTCGCGCCTTCTAACAATAAATGATTTATTTCCGAAGGACCAGACAGCACTCTAAATTTTAATAGATTAACAGAGTTGGAAGGGACCCTCCAACCCCCCCACCCAAGCAGGAGATCCTACACCCATTTCTGACAAATCGCAGGTGCCTGGTACCTCTGCAGGATTATGGTTTTCCTAGTCTTATAGAAATGGGTCTCCAAACAATATCAAAGCCAGTAATTTATATTGCACCCCTATTGTGTTTTGTAACATTTAAATGACTGAAGCTGACGGGGTGTTAATATTGGGGCAGGATAACAAAATAATCTTGCTGGGGGGGGTCCTTAACCAGATTTTTCCTGGAATTCCAGGGCCAGCTAAATATTGCTAATTTTATTTCGAGCTCCCAGGATAAGTACAATTTAGCCTAACTTGCGTCGCCCGCTCTGTCCCATTGTCATCTTACCAAAGAATTGCTGGGTATAGTTAGCTATTTTTTGCTTGTAGGTTTTATTTGAGTCGTCTAATTGTACACTTCCAAGGAATTCTTGGGATAATCATACTACTTTGAAAATATTGTACAACACCCTGAAGATAGAGTTCTCCAGATATCGAAGAAATGAAAATTGCACTTCAGATAATTAGTTACAAAATTTCTTAATAGCACAAGTAGCTGTTAGAGCCTCACTGTTGTGTTTGTTAGGATTCTTTTTGCTTTTTGAGCCTTTGTTTTTTTTTTTTTTTTTTTGGATATCCCTGTTCTCTAAAGATAAGGTTTTTTTTTTGCAACTATGTAGGCATAATGTTGATGGTAGGCCGAGAATCAACGAGAAGAATTTTCTCTATATTTTTTCCTCTAATGACACCTTGGAAAGTAACGGAACGTGGTTGCTCATTTCTTTTTTAAGAAAAGCTTCTGCACAAACTGAGCAAGAATTTAGGGCCTGTTTGAAATGTAATCTGGAATTTGGCCCATTGGAACCTAACTTAGATGCTGCTCTGCCATCGCTCCCTAAACCCCTGTCTCTTTCCCGGTACCTCTTCCCATTTTCTTTTAAACTGGTTTGTGCAAATGCCAGTTTGCTGATTGGAGCGCCCTTTTCAGTGGGCTGCGTATCTCTGACACCTTGTTGTAAACGAGAAGTGACCAGCCGCGATGGCATGCGCAGCCGGCTTAAAATAGCTTCTCCCCAAAGCTCTGCGCATTCTTTGGGCTCCTTGTATGTCTGTCTACGGAGCATCTGCCAGGGCTGCGTGGTAGAATAAATACTCAGCTCCCAGATTTGGGGAGAAAGGGGACTTTGGGCTGGTGTGTTTCACTCGCATTCTTTCTCCTTCCAAGATAAAAGTTCTAACTTGCCTTGAAAAAGAAAACGGAAGAAGTGGTACCGTATTTTTCGGAGTATAAGATGCACCAGAGTATAAGATGCAACTTAGTTTTTGAGGAGGAAAATAAGAAAAAAAACTGATTGGTGGGTGGATCGGCCTCCCGAAATACCCCCAATCAGCTGTTCCCAGAGGTGAATTTTAGCCACAGGTTCGTTGGTTGTGAGCTCTGTGCCTTGCTTTTTTTTCAGCCTCTGAAAGCCTCCAAAACAGAGCTTCAGAAAAAAAGGCTTTTTTTCTGAAGCTCTGTTTGGAGGCTTTTTTTTCTGAAACTTCTTTCAGAGGCTTTTATTCTAAAGGACTATCTGTACTCTGTTCCATCTCCTTTCTTTGGTATTGATATGTAGATTAACCTCTTCCAATCTGCTGGTTATTGTGTCATTCTCCAGATTTGTTAGCATAGTTTGGTTAGACCCTTTACTGATTCTTCTTTTGTTGCTTGCCATATTGTTTTAGATAAAAGCCTTTCAGAGGCTTTTTTTCTGAAGCTTCTTTCAGAGGCTTCTTTCAGCCTCCGTTTGCGAGACTGGGCAGGGCTACATTCAGAGTATAAGACACACCCAGATTTTCACCCTCTTTTTTGGGGGAAAAAGGTGCGTCGTATACTCCGAAAAATACGGTACTTTGTTTGTTTTATGAACACTCGTAGCCTTTGAAAAGTTGCTCAGGTTGGATGTTCTGGTTTTCTGAAGATAAGTAGCCATCTCAGTTGGGATGTTTGGATTTCCCTGTAGAGGAGGCTCAAAACATTCAACATAGAATTATTTTTAGCCAAGCCAAGTGTGTCAGGCCAGGAAGGTCTCGCTAAAACAGAGGCAGGGCTTTCTTCGAAGTATTTGATTTGTTTATTTAACCAATGTATAGGCCGCTCGTCTTTTGTGGGGATTCTGGCTATGTGCTGGTGGTGTCACAAGAATAGGGACACCTGCTAATCAAAAGTAATCGCATTCCTGACAAGACAAGTAGCATTGATGCCAAGTATTGATAGGGCCCAAAGTCTGGTGTCTTCTCCTGCATAAAGTGGGGCAGTTTTATTTGTTTTTATTGGTTGCTGTTGTGAGTGGCCCGGAATTAAATAAATGAGAACCTTTGTTCGACCCATTGGCATTTGAGTCTACCAACCTTTTTTTTTTTTTTAAGTGCTTTCCTGTTTTCTTGGCCTTGCCCTGCTGCCTGCCGTGTCTCTTCCCTTTCTGATCACAGCCTCTCTGTTCCTCTTTAACCCTGCAGGCCTGCAGTTTGCTCCTAAGCCAGCTGAAGGAGATCACGGGCATCCACAATCCGCAGTTCCTCCAGGCGGCACTGACGGTTGGTCCCCTTGGCTGAAATGGGCTCCTTAACCTGCTCCCCATTAAGAAGGCATCTGCCTTGAAATTAGAGCTGTGGCAAAGGTCTTTAAAGCAGGTTCTGGAAGGCAGACCTTCCCTGCTACCATGGAGGGCATTGCCACCCACTCTGTTTCCAGCTGCTTCTCCGCTTGTTTTGGCCCTTGAAATCCAAAACGGGCAGCCCCGCTCTCCCAGAGGGGTTGTTCCCAGCCTGGACAAACCGTGGCATTCGGACAGCTGTCCACATTCCCTGGCCAATACGCAGCTCTGCTCCCGTTCTTCCTCCTGTGATTCGCAGCCAGTGCCGTCTGGGGTGTGTGTGTGTGCATGGGCTGCTCCATCATGGGATATGAAGTCGAGTGTCCACTTTTAAATGTACTTTTTGTTCTTCCTTAAAGATGTCCTGCTCTAGCAATTAACCAGGACAAAAAAATCCTTCTAGAGCAGTGTTCCTCAACCGTGGCAGCTTAATATTTGTGTACTTCAACTTTAAGATGCATGGACCTCGACTCCCAGAATTCCCAGCAAAGCTGGCTGGGGAATTCTGGGAGTTGAAGTCCACGCATCTTAAAAGTGGCCATGTTTGAGAAGCGCTGCTGTAGAGGAGGAGCAGAAAGTCGTCATCTCCTGCCGTCTTTGTTTCTCCTCAGGCTGCCGATGGAAACCTAATGCAGGCGGTTGGCTTCCTCACCAAAGTCAGTGACGGAGAGTCCGAGGGAGACCCCGCTGCTTCCGACTCTGAGGGAAGGGAAAGACAGGCCACCAGTAAGCCCTTCCTTTCTCCTCCATAGACTTTTCCCATCCGTCCATCCATCCATCCATTTATCCAGCATTGGGTTTTCCAAGGAAGGCCGTGTGCAGACTCTGAAAACCTACCCAACCAATTCTGTCCCTCTAGGACGGAGTCTTTATAAATAGAAGCGGAGACCAGGAAGGGCCCTTCAACACTCTTGCTAAGCCCCAGCTAGCGCCTTTGGGATAGAGTGGAAGAGCCGTTCTCAGAAACCTCAGTCATCGGGAGAGGGAGGCTGCGTTGAGTCACTTTTGTTCTTGAGGTGGGGGAGGGGGAGGATGACGTGAAGAGCCAAGCAAGCTGGTAAGATGTCAACAGATCACAAAGGCCCCGTGATGCCGTCTGATCTTTATGTGCCTCTCTGGATGAGAACATTGCTATGAAATGAGAAGCGCCCTTGGGCTTCTGTGGGTGGGGAGACGGAGTGTTTTAACTCCGCTAATAATTAATATTGCCTGCTCTCTTAATTTCCAGCTCAGAATGAAGCCCCACAAGATCATGGCGATATTCAGGAACCCCTTCCTTCTGGCAGCCAAGATTTCTCAACCGAGAAGAAGGACTTTGCTGCAACCACGAATGCGTAGGTCATTGTTGTATTTATTCTGCATTGTCGCCATTGGGAAATCTCCCAGGCTCCTTTCTCTGCCCCTATCCAGGCCCCTGCTGTGTTTGCATGTTCCCCATCCCCCCAGGAGAAACATGTGGCCAAATCTATTCCGATCAGAGTTTTCCATTTTCAGGAAGTGTCCAGCTGATCAGCATAATCTGCCTTCCTAGCAGAACAGGTTTTCCTTGAGGGCCAAAATCTACTGAAAGAGGGATGACCATTGTCCTCTTGGGGACCGTGTGTTCCCCAAGAGATGAGTAGTGAAGAGGACTAGTTGCTTCTAGCCCAAAAAGACGTCCTTGCAGTGGCTGCTGTTTGTGTTTCTGGCAGAGCCCACGAGCCCAGCGTAGCCGAAAACAAAAACCGTTCCAAAAGGAAACGCTGTGAAGTTTGGGGAGAGAACACCACTCAGCGGGACTGGAGGAGGGTCAGCGGATGGCCGGTTGGGATGAAGAACATTGGAAACACCTGCTGGTTCAGTGCAGTCATACAGGTAATTTGGGGTGCTGGCGCTTCTCTGGGTCTCTGCTGACAGTGGGGCGCCATCGAACTCTCGCTCGGCCACTTTAAGATGAGTGGACTTCAGCTGGCTGTGGAATTCTGGGAGCTGAAGTTCCCATCTGCTGGCTGGAGAATTCTGGGAGTCAAAGTCCACCCTTGTTAAAAGTGGCTGAGATTAAGCCACTTAATTAAATTCTCTTAATTAACCCCTGTTTTTTCTTCAGTTGATGCAAGAGCTAATTAGTCCAGGCTTCCCTGGCTGCTTTCTCTTCCCGGGCTGGGCTTTAATTTACCTAATGGAGCCTGTGGGAGGATGGAGAGGATGGCCCTTACCTGTTGGGAGGCAGCTGTGGCCACCCCAAGCCTCTCCTTTGGCTGAAGTCCTCTTTGATGAGTATTATATAGACTTGACATACAGTCACCGATGGAGCGGGAGGTTAATTTCAGGGGTGCTGTCAGTCTCTCTTCCAGCTGCCAGAATTCCGGCACCTGGTCCTGAACTATTCCCTGCCCGAAGCCGTCCTGGACAACTGCCGCAGCCGAAGTGTAAGTGACTCCTGGGTGACGGGAGGGGAACCCGTCTTCCTGAGCCACGTTGGTACAACAGGGCTGGCCGAATACTGACAACCTGCAAGGGGGGGAGGCAGTTAAAAGATGAAAGAGACATTTCTGATTTCTCCAGAAATTTTAAGGACTCTCCCGTGTTCAGAATCTAGAACACAAGCTGGGATTCGATGGTATGATTAATGTTCCCAATTTTAGTTTTCCCTAGCAATTTTGGAACCTCTTCCGTCTTCTTGACTGTCACCCTAATCAGAGTCTGGGCCTCTTAAGGTCCCATTTGTTAGAATGCCGATGCCATTTGTTTGGGCTCCCCTCCCCGCTACAGGTTACCTTTTGATTGAATGACCCCAAAGAGCTAAAAACAGACAGGTGGCAACAGGATGTGTGATCATGAACTCTGACCTAGAGAGACGATGCTGGGGTTGCTGGCCCCCCCACAAAGGCTTTCTCCGGAATTTTTGTCGGTGGTGAATTTGGAGGAAGTAAACGGGTTGGGGTGCTGTTGGATAGCCCTGTTCCCATCAGCACCCCTGGTGATGCCAGTCTCTTTCCTCTCGGCTGCAAAGCCAGCCATTTATTGCGGGAATCCTGTCTGGAATGAATCAACACAAGATTCCAAGCCACAATGTGCCCTGGTTAGTTTTGGCTTCAGATGGTTTGTGAAGGGAGTCCGGGTTGTATGAATTGTGCGCTACCCACCACTCCAGCGAATATAACTTCTGAATGTGAACTGGCTCCACTTTGCTGACCAAGGGCCAGTTGTTTAATTGCTTTTTTATGGCACCTCTTGTTGTTTTGCAGGAAAAGAGGAACATCGCATTCATGCAGGAACTCCAATATCTCTTTGCTTTAATGCTGGGAACACGCCGCAAATTTGTAGACCCGACAACGGCCCTCGAACTTCTCAAAGGGGCATTCAGATCTCCCGAGGAACAACAGGTGAAGGCACCCTCGGGGTCTTCCCAGATCCAGGCTGCCCCTTGACCCAGGATCACCCTGGCAAGGATGGTCTTTAACTTGGACTAGGCTGTACGGGAGTGTTTCTCAAGTTGGCTGGCTTTAAGTTGTGTGGATTTCAACTCCCAAAATTCCCCAGCCAGCAGAGAAATTTTAATTTAAAGGCAACTCTAAAATCCAGAAACGTTAAAAATGTGTAAAGTCGTTTGAAAACGAAAAATGAAAGACATCCAAGGTTATATAAAAACAGTGAAGAAATCTGTTCAGAAGCTAACCTTTGCTGCTCCCTTTGTCTCCTTTTTTAGCAAGATGTGAGCGAGTTCACCCACAAACTCCTGGACTGGCTGGAAGATGCTTTCCAACTGACAGTGGAGGCCGAGTGAGTCTAAAGGAGCTTCGGCGATTTAGTTTTGTGAAGCTGCCGCCCAGTTGCCAGAATTTGCTGCGAAGATTTTATTTTTTTTTTTAACAAAAAACCCCAATGCCTGTTGTTTTCCACTTGATAGGATGGTGTGATTCTCTCTGTGTGCTACAGGCAGGTGTCAGGGGGCCTGAGTGGGCATGTGGGCGATCCTGAACGAAGTAAAAGTGTATTTCTGACTTCGAGTAACTTGACCTGTTCCGAGCACCTGAATTCAATGATCACGAACGCCAATACAGTTGGCTTGTAACCAAATGAGCTCTTAAAATTCCCGAGGTCTCAGGTTTCACACCCGGATTCACTATGACCAAGCACTGTACATGTGAGGGAATCGACACACAAATATCCCATCACATACGGCTGTTCAGGAAGGGTTGAGTCCTGGGCTGAATTCCTGGTTGTAGCTGGCGGCTGGCTGCCTATAGGAAGCCCCTGTGTTCTAGTCTGCTCCTCTATGAGGGCTATTTGTAGAAATGGGGGACCCCTAGAAGGGAAGGGCGTTGCATCCTGAGCTCCCATCTGCCCCCCCCCAAGCTTGGCGAGATCTAGATGAATCCCCTAAAGTGCATTGCTTAGCTTCCAGACAAGTCGCCTTGGGGATTGGTCTTACCAACCTGTTTTTTAAAGAAAAATGGTGAGTTTGCTTTCAGAATAACAGAGTTGGACCTTGGAGGTCTTCCAGTCCAGAGGTCTCCAACCTTGGGAACTTTAAGACTTGTGGACTTCCAACTCCCAGAATTCCTCAGCCAGCAATCTGCGAGTTGAAGTCCGCAAGTCTTAAAGTTGCCAAGGTTGGAGACCCCTGTTGTAGTCCAACCCCCTGCTCAGGCAGGAGACCGTGTACCATTCCAGACAAGTGGCTGTCCAGTCTCTTCTCGAAAGCCTCCGGTGATGGAGCGCCCACAGAAGTTGAAGAAGAGAGGGAAGTCATTCCAGTGGTTAATTGTCCTCACTATCAGGAAGTTTCTCTTTTAATTCCAGGTTGCTTCTCTCCTTGATTAGTTTCCACCCACTGCTTCTTCTCCTGCCTTCAGTTGCTTTGGAGAAGAGGCTGAGTCCCTCTTCTTCAAATATTGGACCCCTACCCTCATGTCGCCCTGGATCCTTCTTTTCATTCGACTAGGCAAATCTAATTCCGTAGCCAATTCCTGTTCCCTTGCTTTCTCCTCCTGCGACAGGAATTCCCAGGACAAATCGGAGAACCCCATGGTCCAGCTTTTTTATGGGACTTTCCTAACCGAAGGAGTTCACGAAGGTAAGCTGGAAGGCCTTGGGAATTGGCCCGGAAGTCTTCTCAGCGCCGTTGCTGCCTCCTCTGGGTTTTATATCTAACACACTTCAAAGGAGGATCTGTTTGGGATTTGGTTTTGTTCTCCTTCAATTGATGGGCGTCTCCCCTCCCCTATTTAGGGAAGCAGTTTTCCAAAATCGAGACCTTTGGCCAGTACCCCCTGCAGGTCAACGGCTACAAGAACTTGCAGGAATGCTTGGAAGGAGCCCTGGTGGAGAAGGAGAGCGAGCCAGGCCCTTCCAAGCAGGCACTGACCTACACACAAGAGGTGAGTGTTGTGGCATTTACACAACTCCCACGGAGCCAGGACAAACTTGTCAGTTACCAACTTGAAAACATAGAATATGATGTACGAGAGCACGCTGGAGTTAAGGGAGTGCTGTGGAACGACTTAACACCATGCAGCGTGCGACCTTTATATTTCACGTGTTGTGTCTGGGGTGCGAGTGTGATAAAAATATTTTTCTTTCTGTTGAAGCCTGCCCGTGGGAAAGAGCCAGTGCCTCCGTATTTTCGGGGGATAAAACTACAGTTTTTGATTTAATGGTATGCTTTTCTTGTTTGTAACTTTGTCTTTGTATCTGAGTATATGTTGCACTCTCTTTTTTTCACTCTCCAAAAATCTGGTTTTAACTTAATTAGTCCTAAAATAATCCTGTTGCTTGCATCCAATATACTGGGAATCTGTTCAGGACTATCCTAGTTTGCTTCCTGTGGTTCCTACGGCCGACTGAGGAATTCTGGGAGTTGAAGTCCAGGCTTCTTGGAGTCCCCAAGGTTGAGAAACACTGGAATAGAGAGAAGAGAAGAATTCAGGATTTGCACATTTTCTACATCTGCCTGGAAGATGTTAACCAAAGCATTGTAGTTCAGTTTGTGGTCCAAAGACCAAATATGTGGAAAACATTTAAAGCACCTAAGAAATCTTAAAGGTGCTGTCAGCACTAGCGTAAATGTGAGACGACATCGAAACCTGACAGGTGCTTTTCAAAAAGGCAGCTGGACTATGTTTGTTCCCTTGAGGAAGAAAAAGACATTTCGCTTCTCATCCAAGAAGCGTCATCAGTTCTGGTTGGATGGTGGTGGGAAATGGGAGGATGAATTCTGACAGGATCCTCCCATCTCCCTTCCCTCCCTCCCTCCCACCATCCAGTCAGAACTGATGAAGCTGCTTGGATGAGAAGCGAAACATTTTCGGAGAAAAAAACCAAGGAAGTCCAGTTTTGTTTTGGGTTTTTTGGAAAAAGCCCCTTTGAGGCAACCATGACTTGGATGACTGAGAATCTGCGTAGACATTCGCCTCAGAAACCCTTCAACCCTGTGGGAGGAATGGGAGTATTCAGTCTTCCCATTTGTATCCAGGGGAATCTGAATGGCTCCAGCCGCTTTGCCTTTGGCCCGGAACAAAATGTCCAGCTGAGAAACTTTTTTGACTGGTTTAGTGAAAGGCATTCCTTTCACTTCTTCTTCAGTGATGCAAGCAGAGAACCAGGGGAGGCGAAGGGCTTCTCCCAAATACATCGGAAAGAGTGAAAACGTTGCAGCACCTTTTCATCTCTTCCAGTAGAACAGACTAGCCACAAATAGCTTCCAAGGGGAGGTGCCGCTTTGATCACGAGGGGCCCGTCTGGCAGGAGTTGAGAGGAGTCTATTAAAAGCCGGAGTTCTTGGCAGGAGTTTTTCCAATAGGGCTTGTAGAATTGCAGTGACATTGTTTTCATCCCATGTTCAGTTTGAAACGGTTTTGTCAAAATTGGGAAATAGCATTTGAGGCAGGAGCACAGCACCTATGGAGCAGGTTGCCAAAGTGCCTCTCCACTTTTGCAATCCTCCAGACTGGATGAGCCTGGGGACTTTCACCTTTTTAAATATGTTGATGGGTGTGGAAAGAAAGTGGGGGTGGGAGGCACCAATTTTGCCCTTAAAATTTCCGATCCCCCGCTTTTCCTAAAAAAGAGACTTGGCCCATCCATTTGCTGTATGCGGTTCTAATTCAGTGTTTCTCATCCTAAACTGTGTGGACTTCAACTCATACATGCTGTGCTGGCTGGTGAATTCTGGGAGTTGAAGTCCGTAAGTGGCCAGTGTTGTGAAACACGGCTGCAAACCCATTGAAGTTGTGTACATCTGCTTTGTGGAACTTAGCACGTGATTCGTGGGAGGCCTTCCTGTCTCGAGAAATGCTGATTTTTTTTTTCCCACCACAATCATACAATCAAATTTGCTGAACTCCAACAGTGATTTCTCTTTTTCTGGGTATGACGTGAAGTGGGATCTAAGTAATTGTTTCTCCTGCTTAGAACAGGAGAAGACTGTTAATGAAAGAAAGACCCATCCATCTGAACCCGTTGTGTGTCTATTTCAGCGCTGGTTTACAAAACTCCCCCCAGTCCTGACCTTTGAACTTTCCCGTTTTGAGTTCAATCAATCCCTTGGGCAGCCGGAGAAGATTCACAACAAGCTAGAATTCCCGCCAGTCATTTACATGGATAGGTAAGAAAGGTGGGGGGGGGGGGGGGGGAAGGTTTATGTTTTCAGACTTCCAAACCTGCAAAAAAAGATATTGTGGGGTTGCGATAAGGGAGAGCACGCAGCTGTCAAAACTATGTTTCCTTTAGGTTTATGTATGGCAATAAGGAAATTATTCAAGCAAAAAGAGAAGAGATTGGAAAACTGAAAGACCAGATGACGGCTCTACAGCAGCAGTTGGAAAAGTAGGCAGTCTTTCTCAAACTCTGAATTTTCCCTTGCAGAATACCTGAGCTGAAGCTCAACCAGCTGGCCTCTCTTTCTTTCTTTCTTTATTGAATTTGTATACCGCCCTTCTCTCAAAAGGGACTCACTTCCTTGTCATGAAAAGAAAGAAATAAGAAAAAGAAGCTTTTTAGAAGCTTCTCCCTACCCGTGTAGTTTTATTTCAGATTTTCCGGAGAGCTGCACACAAGGTGCTTCTTTAGACATGTCAGCCAACCTGCCAGCTCATTCTCTATTCTACTTCTGTAATGCAGCCCCGGAAGGAGAGGCTTCTGTCCCTTGTAACATTTGAAGAATCTGTTCGAAGAGGTCCAGGAGCAGGACAGGAAAATGGGACTCGTACTCCAAAAAATATCAGTAGTCAACCATGGTTATAATATTTGCCCCATGTTCAAGGGGTAAAGGAAAATAAACTTTTTATCGCTGAATGTGATAGTTTTGAGCCATGGTGGCACAGTGATTAGAATGCAATATTGCCAGGAATTCAATCCTGACCGGCTCAAGGTTGACTCAGCCTTCCATCCTTCCGAGGTGGGTAAAATGAGGACCCAGATTGTTGGGGGCAAGAATCTGACTCTGTAAATCTGCACTTAGAGAGGGCTGTAAAGCCACTTTGAAGCGATATATACAGTAAGTCTAGGTGCGGTTGCTACTTGATCCCCTGGAAAGGGAAGGCCTTGCTAAATCGAGTTAGGGAAGACCGATGATTTTGAAGTGGGACTGATGATGGTTTCCTCCTAATCAGGTACCTGAGATACGGCTCTGGCTCCGACCGCTTCCCCTTGCCGGATATGCTGCAGTCTGTTCTTGAATTTGCAAGGACCAAGCTGTCCTGCGCAGCGACTCTGACAACAGCAGAAACTAAGGCCGAAAAAGAACCCTCGGAAACCCATCCCGAGCCAAGCAGGTAAACCTGGGCCATGCTTTCCATCATGGCTGTATCCAGATTGAAGCAATCAGGTGATACATCTGATTATTTTGGCCCCTAGAAATGATGCCGGTTTAGAAACTCTAAAACAGTGTTTCTCAACCTTGGAAGCTTGAAGATGGGTGGACTTCAACTGTCCACCCATCTTCAAGCTTCCAAGGTTGAGAAACACTGCTCTAAAAGGAAAATGCATGTTGGGTCAGCTGCCTTTTTAAAGCAGTCCTCCTGATTTAAGTCCCATTGCCATCTCTGGCTTTTGAGGAGCGCTAGCAGCACCGGCCAAGATCCCCAGTTCCCATCCGCTGATTGAACACATCCTTCCCTCCACCCAGGTGCCCAGGGGAGACGTCAGAAGAGCCTGTTCCTCCTCGGGCCGTCTCCGCAGATGAGATGAGCCTGGTCATTTCCTGCCTGCAGAAGTGGAGGGAAGAAGTCGAGCAAGATATAGAAGGTCTGCGCCCAGATAATTTCACATGTCACTCCAGAGTTGCTGTTTAGCAGCTGAGATTTTCCCATTTGCGCACGGGATGATTTCCATTCCGTTCTTTCCCCGAACTGGAGAAGGTGGCCAGGTGCGATACCATGTACCTTTTCACAGTGTTTAAGTCCCTTCTTTCTGTTTGTGGGATGTGATCAGGAAGTCATAACTCATCTCTCTCGGAGCATTTTTGCAGTTTTCCTGGTTGGGCCGAGGGCTGAAGTTTCCTTGGTGAAGGACAACATTTTGTTGGGCCATTAAGAGGACACCTTCAAACTCTTGAATCATCCAGGTCCCCTCCATAGAGACAGCCATCATTCAGGGCCACCCTTTCCCTGAATATGAGCATTGTCTCCAGGGTGGAGAACGGGTCATTCCCCTTGCTTTCCACAAAATGACCTGACATGCAACTTTGAGGGACACCTGTGATCAGTCACAATCAGTCTCTCGTGGCCTGAAGCATCTTTAGAGATTGGTAAAAAATGTTTCCTTTTCTTTAAGAAAACTTAACAGTTGCTCACTCGTTTAGTCTTTTGCTTTGATTGACAGACTTGAAGACTTCCATGCTGATGCTTTCTGAGTCCATGGATGATGTCTATGCTGACCCTCAACTCTGCCAGGTAGGGTGTCTGCCTTTCTTCCTGGTTGTGTGAGTGCGTCTGACCTCGTATGGGCACCAGTTCCCCCAGAATAAAACCTTGTTGTCATATAAGAGAAAGGGAGGGATTCGTGGTTGAATCAGTTAATACTTTCCATTTTTCTGATAAGGTAATTTGTTGCTCCATATAAAATTAGCCTGGAGGTCTCAAATTAAATTTCTAGGATTTAATTTGGGAAATGCTTGGGAATTCAGACACTATATTCTCCTACAAACAATGATTTTACCTTGTTTTTGAAAACGGTTTCATGTCAATCATAGCTAAAGCACAGGCACTTGTACCTGCCTGCTGTTGCCACGCGTTGAAATGCAAGGTGGAACTTCTGAGTATCATAACTGGCCTGATTGGTTCCCCACTGTCTCTCCAAAGAGTCTGCAGAGGCTGGGCGTTTTAATGGAAGAGCTGGAACATCCTGTTTTTTGTTTGGAGAGCTCCTGCCTTTTCCCTCTATTCCAGAGGCCTCCAAACCTGGCAACTTTAAGACTTGTGGACTTCACCGCCCAGAATTCCTCAGCCAGTCAGACTGTCAGAATTCTTCAGTCAGTCAGGCTGAGGAATTCTGGAAATTGAAGTCCACAGGTCTTAAAGTTGCCAAGTTTGGAGACCCCTGGTTTAGTAGATAACCAACAGGAGCTTGGGTGTGTTCTGAATTGTACAGCGTTGAGCTCTTCCATCCCCAACAGGATCACCCGTCAAGGCCTTGCTAGTTGCTAGAGTCCTCTCTGGCAAATGGCTTCCGTTGAGTGTCAGTCGGTTGGGCGTGTCCTTGGTGGCTGGTTCTGGACCTGACTGGTCTGGTCACAAATGGTCTCTGCATCCCTGCTTACCAACATGGAAAGTTCCCCCTTGGAAAGGAATCTGTGCTAAGCCTTGATTATATGAATGGATCGTTCTTACAGGCGCAACAGCTGAGAATTTGCCTCATCGAATCTTCCCATGGTCATGTTACTTCACCTCTCTAAAAATAAACCCGAGAACCGATGGTGTCTGCGTTTGTGTGTGTGTGTGTGTTTTCCAGGTCCCTTATCACTTGCATGCTGTGTTGGTCCACGAAGGCCAGGCCAACGCTGGCCATTACTGGGCCTACATCTACAGCCTGCCTCAGAAGACGTGGCTTAAATACAACGACATCGCCGTGGCTGAATCCTCCTGGGAGGAACTCGAAAGGGATTCGTTTGGCGGCTTGAAAAATGCTAGCGCCTATTGCCTCATTTATGTTAGTAAAAAGCTACCACACTTCGCAGCAGGTGAGGATCTGAACTTGGTTCTTGGAGAGGCCTCTTCCTTCTCGGGGGCCGGAGGCCTCTGGATATGTTGAGAAGGGCTGCTTAAGAAGAGATTTCTTGTCCTCCGGTTGAGAGTGGACCATGGTCTCTTCTTTTATACCTTCTGCCTTTGTGGGGAGATGCATTACTTGAAATGAGCGGAGGTTAAGGAGAATCTCTCTCGCCATCCCGGTTTGATATATTTGGGGGTAGAAGCAGTTTAGTTCCAAGAGGAATAAATTTAGGAATCGGTCAGCAGTCGGGGGTCAGCTGAAGACGGGAAGGGCAAACCCCATCTGAAAACTGGATGAATCTGTCTATATCAGTGATGGCTAACCTTTTTGCCATTGTCTGCCAAAAGCGGGGGTCGCACGAGTGCCCACACCCATAATTCAGTGCACACACACACCCCCGCACATGATGGCACAGTGGGCCCAGTAGGCCCGTTTTTCGCCCTCCCTAGGCTCCAGATGATTTCTTGGAGCCTGGGGAGGGCAAAAACGGCCTCCCCTCCACCCAAGGTCCTCTGGAGGCCGGAAACGGCCCATTTCCCAACTTCCGGTAGGACCGGAAGGCCCGTTTTTCGCCCTCCCCAGGCTCCAGAGGCTTTCTAGAAGCCTGGGGAAGGTGAAAATGGCCTCCCCCCTCCCCAGGCCCTCCGTAGGCCAGAAACAGCCTGTTTTCTGACTTCCGGTGGGCTTGGAAGGCCCGAAAATCAGCTGGCTGGTGTGCACATGCATGCTGGAGCTGAACTAGGGCAATGCTCGCGTGTCCACAGTTACGGCTCCATGTGCTACCGGTGGCACGCGTGCCATAAGTCCACCATCACGGGTCTATACAATTGCCAGGAGCCAAGGCTGACATGAAGGCACAAATATACATAAAGTTCCTCAATTATTGGGTCTCAAAGGCAGGAAAGAGTTGGGAGTCTTTGTACTCTTTATCTTTTTGGTCCTGTACGTGCGCACACAGCACCACACATCCCTCCTGGTCTTCGATGCTGGAGACACTATATAACCATCCTGACAGCCAGTAGCAACTTGCGGCCACAGCATCCTAATAAGAGGAAAAGGGCAACCAACAACCTTCACCGCCTCCCTTGCTTTTGTTGTCCAAGAGGTGTTCAGACCCTCTGTTCATCTTCCTTTGGCAGCTTATGACGATGGACAACCGGAGAGAGAAGTAGAAGTGCTGCCTCTGGAACTTCAACGCTACATCGAAGAAGACAACTGGAGGGTAGAACAGGAGATGGCCGAGCTGGAAGAGCAGTCCTGCAAAATGGCCCAGATGGAGCAATCCTCTGAACCTCTGGAGTCCCAGAGCTTGTCTTCCGACTCAAGTCAAGGTGAGGAAAGGGGAAGGCGATCTTCCTTCTCCTTCTGATACCAGCAGACAGGGAGTGGAAATTGCAGGCCAGGAAAGGATTGTCACGCAAAAAAACCCTAGAGAGCTTTGACCAGGCTTAGAGAAACACATTGATGGGCCCGTTCCATCTGTTTTGGGTTCTCTGTTGCGGTCCCCTCAAATGCCCTAGAGCAGGGGTCTCCAACCTTGGCAACCTTAAGCCTGGCGGACTTCAACTCCCAGAATTCCCCAGCTGCAATGATCCTTGTAGTGGGTGCTAGCTGGGGCGGGCTCCCAAATTTAGATTTTTCTCTCTGATTTCCCCTGAATCTTCCCTAGGCTAAATGTGGGTGCTGTTTAGTAGCTCCTTTTTTTCCCCCTGGCCGTCTTCTGGAGACTACCCACTTCAGCCTTTTGCAATCCCAGCATCCTTTAGCTGCAGATTTGGGTCCTGCCAACCTCGACCTCAACAGCTCCCTGTAATACCTTTGGGAAAGCGTAAACCATGGAAAATTCCTCTGGAATTTCCTTTCTCCTTCTAGAACGCTCCTTCCCCCGCGAGTGTGGGCCGCATTCGCTCTCCTCCGAGCACGCCGTGATGGCCAAGGAGCAGACTGCCCAAGCCATCGCCAAGGCGGCCGACGTCTACGAGAAGGATGGCATCCCGGCTGCTCTTGACCAGGTGAGGCTCATCGTTGGCGTTCCCTCCTTCCACCTGCTCTGCTGAGCCTCTTGCCCTCCTTGGGCCTCTCTTGCTTGCGCCTCTTGCCTTCCTCTCACTCCCTTCTCCTCCTCCTCCTCCTCCTCCCTCTCCTCCTCCCCTCGGTGCTGCCACAGCCCAAGGAGGCAGATGCAGAGAAGGACCCCTCAGAGGAAGCCGTCCCCACGCCGCAGGCAGAAGAGCCCCCGGAAGCGGAGCGGAGGGAGCCTTCTGCCCCGCCCAGCTCTCAAGTCTCGGAAGTGGAGATTCCCAGTGTGGGGAAGATCCTAGTTAGATCGGATGCGGATGGCTATAACGAGGAGGTACCGTCTCTGGGAGGAGAGGGACTAGTCAACAATGCCCGTTCTGCTCTCGATGGCCCGCTTCTCAAAGCGGGAAAACCCCAGCCGCACTTGGAAACGTCCTCTCCTTTCCCGTGGGGCTTTATCGGTGGTTGGTTATCAACACACAACTAACACACAAACAGGCAGCACAGCCTGGAAAATGTGTGTCAGTGCTCCAAGTGATGCACCCCTAGAAAGCAAAACCTCTTAAGGCAGGCAGCTTCCTCAAAGGACAATTGATGGGATACCTCATATTGGCACAACTGGCGAAAGCCGACTCTGAAGGTTCCCGCGGCTTTCACCTGATTAAAATGTAAAAGTTTCCCCTCTCCCCCAAGTCTCTGGTCACGCTGTCCAATCAAGGTGCTGGCCGGTTGCTTGGTGACTTCGCTCCTCCCCTGGCCAGCCACCTGTCGGAGTGTCCTTGGTTCCCACAGGAAAACTGGATAGCTATTTCCCTGCCCCTCCTTCAGCTTCGTGGCAACCCTGAAGCCTCCGAGAGGACCTCGGCCAGATTCCCTTCAGGGTTGACAATGTGGTTGTGCTGTATGGAGAGGCTATGTGGCTCCTTATTTATCGCTGTTGGTTATCCGTGTGGTCCATGGTGCTCTCTGAACGTGGTTGTCTTCTTGCAGACATTTCATGACCCAACTAGGTAATATCAGTCCAATCCCCACTCCCTGTAGCACTGATGATGTTTCCTAGTTGGGTCATGAAATGTCTGCAAGATCACAACCAAGCTCAGAGAGCACCAAGGACCCCTCATTTCAACCCTGAGCTATAGAGTCTCTTCTGTCAGTTACTTTCTAAGAATCTGGAAATGGGGGACCCACCCAAACAATATCCTTGTTTCAATCCAGCCTTTCCCCCACTCCTGTCTCTCTCTCTCTCTCTCTCTTTCCTCTTTCCTCTTCTCTGTGGCAGGTGATGCTAAGCCCCGCCATGCAAGGGGTGATCCTGGCCATTGCTAAAGCTCGCCAGACCTTTGATCGCGATGGGTCTGAAGCAGGGCTAGTCAAGGTAGTACTTTACACCTAAGAGCACGTGTCTTGTTTTTCTCTGTCCACAAGGGATGAGGCCTCTTCTCTGGGTCGGGGGCCTGTCTCCTTCTTTCCTTTTTGCTGTCTTGGAATGGGAGGGTAGACAGGAGCAGGTGGTGGCCAGGTGCCCAGCTGGATGCCAGATTCTGCAGGAGTGGTACTTATGCCTCACCTGACCCGTCCTTTAGGGAGAGAGTTTTAGACCAATAACACGGATCCAAGACAGAAGAGGGGGACTTCCCTCCAGAGGGGATTACTTGCTCCGCCTGCTAATGTAGTGTATCTGTTTGGTATCTGAGCCCATTTCATATTTATACAAAATTCTAAGTAGGAAAGGTTCATCCTCCCAACTGAAATGCCAGAAATCTGGAAGTCTTCTTGATTCAAAGCAGAAAGCGGGAGCTATCCAACTCCTTTGTGGAAATCCTTTCCACAGCTAGGGAAAAAAAAAATACTTTCAAGATAAATTTCATGTATTGTTTATTCCTTTGTCCCAGATCACATACACCTTAAGGTGTCCCTTAGCGCCTGAAGTGGCCCTTGTGTTTTACAATTGTAGGAATTCTAGACACTTAGAATCCATCTATGCTGTACAAGCAGCCTTCTCTGATCAGCACGGAAGAGCAATAAAATAGGAAAACGCCCAAAAATAAACAGTGAGATAAAAAGAGCTATTGTAGACAATCTTAAGCAGTAATCACTTTATGACTGGACCGGATTAATATTGAGGACATTTGTTCATTCTACTATCTTGCTGTCTCTGGCACATCCAGCAGGTTCCTGTAGAGCAGGGGTGTCAAACTCAATTTCATTGAGGGCCGCATCAGGGCTGTGGTTGACCTGGGGGAGGGGGGGGGCGACTGGGCGGGCACGGCGAGCTTGACGCCACTCCCCAAATTGCTGGCATGTTTCCTCTTTGCACTGGGTAGACGGGGCCGAAGCAACGCGAGTTGGCCTCTTACATTTTCCAGGATGGCTCCATGGGCCAATCCAACCACATTGTGTTCAGACTGTTGCCTTCTGGCAGAAGATACAGAACAATTAAAACTCGGACCACACGTCTTCTGAATAGTTTTTATCCCAGAGCTGTAATTGCACTCAACCATGAACTAAAGGGCCACCATCAGTCAGCTGTTGGACAGCATTACTTGGTCTGCTGTGTGGATGCTTGGGTGGCTTTAGGGGTGGGGAATTTGTGGTGGGTGGGTGAGGGGTGTCTGGGGATTGTTATGTGTCTTGGGCTTGGTCTCTGGGTGTTAAGTGAATTTCGTTGTATGGGTGTACTGTGTATATACGTACAATGACAATAAACTATTAAATTGTGAGCCGGATCTGGCCCGCGGGCCTTGTGTTTGACACCCCTGCTGTAGAGTCTTAGCCTGTCAGGGACAAAGAAATCTCCCTCCCCTTTGAATCAGCTGCAAAACAAGGGGAGAATCTGCACGATGGATTCATAACAAGCTAGAACGATAACCGTTTCAACCACCGACTTCCCCAGGCATTCCATGAAGAATATTCCAGACTGTACTCCTTGTCGAGAGAGACCCCAACACCCCAGAATGACCCCCGCCTTCAACACGTCTTAGTTTACTTGCTGCAGAACGATGCCCCCAAGCAGGTGGTGGAACGGACCCTACTGGAGCAGTTTGCGGACAAAAACCTCAGCTACGATGAAAGGTTGGTTCAGAGAAGGTAGAGAGGGACGCGAGGAGACAGTTTGTAGCTCACAGTTGAACTCTGTGGCGTCCTTGATGCTCTCGGCACTTGGTGGTTTGCTTCCAGATGTTTCATTCGGGTTAGGGCACGCCTGAGAGACCTAAAGGAACCATCTTTGGGTTCCAGATATTGCGGGAGTTACTGGGAAAGCACTGGCCCTCAGTTTTAATGGAAGCAAATTAAATTGAAAATGTCTGTCTAGATGCCACTCCAGCTGCATTCACAGTGTTCCTTCTCTCTGTTCTGGGAATCAGGTCCATTAGCATTATGAAGGTGGCCCGAGAAAAGCTGAAAGGAATTGGCCCAGATGAGGTAGACATGGAAGAGTACAAGGTAAGAAGTCCTGACTTTCAAAACACACACAGAGACACACAGCTTTGGCGAAAAGCAGACTAGCTCCTGATTCTCTGGTCACAGCCTGCTCTGTTGAAATAACACTTTGGGGTGCTCGTTACGCATATCCGTTAGCTTACCTTTAGCCACAGTACGCATCTAAATCGAATCATTTACCTCTTCTCTTTCTTGGCATGACTCGGGGATGCCGGAGGCCACCTGGGGTTTCAAGCAAGCCACGGCAGGGCAGAAGCACCAACATGGAAGGAGGGAGTGGGGAGTCAAACATTACAACGACCAAACTTGTATTTTCTGTTTCTGGACAGAAATGGCACGAAGACTACAGCTTGTTCCGCAAGGTGTCCGTTTATCTCTTGACGGGGTTGGAGCTCTATCAGAAAAACCAGTAAGTTCATCCGCGGAGATTTTAGGAAGGAATTGCTGAAGGCTTCAGGCCTGTTGAGTTGATGTTTCGACAGACAGAGCGTGGTGAATGTGTCCCGACATATCTTGAGTCATCTACAAATGGGCAATATTGGGTTTGGGCCACTCTGCCTCCCTTTTGTGCACTTAGCCGAATCATTATACAATTTTGTACAATCCGAGGAGAAACGACTCGATTTTAATAAGCAATAATAAAAGTTCTGTTTTGTCCAGAAAGCCAAATATGCACGTCTCAAAACACCCTGAGCGTTCTCACGGGGGGGAACGGAAGCAGGTTGTTCAAATTCCTCTTGCTCTTGTGAAGGACACTGAGCTTGTCGATCGAAAGGTCGGCAGTTCAGCGGTTTGAATCCCTAGTGCTGCCGCGTAACGGGGTGAGCTCCCGTGACTTGTCCCAGCTTCTGCCAACCTAGCAGTTCGAAAGCAGGTAAAAAATGCAAGTAGAAAAATAGGGACCACCTTTGGTGGGAAGGTAAGAGCATTCCGTGCGCCTTTGGCGTTGAGTCATGCTGGCCACGTGGCCACGGAGACGTCTTCTTCGGACAGCGCTGGCTCTTCGGCTCTGAAACGGAGATGAGCACCACCCCCTAGAGTCGGGAACGACTAGCACATACGTGCGAGGGGAACCTTTACCTTTCCTCCTCATCGGATCAAAACAGTGATATATTTCTGGCGATTTTAAGTACAGGAGGCAATTCTAAAACATCTTGACTTCAGTTAAACTCCCCTTGATGAAGCCTTTTGCCTCTAAAACAGTGTTTCTCAACCTTGGAAGCTTGAAGATGGGTGGACTTCAACTCCCAAAATCCCCCAATTGAGCTCAGTTGTGGTCATAAGTTGGGGACTCCCTGTATATTGGGTTGAATATTTCTCTTTGGCAGAGAGAGATTTTACTTTATGAGCCTTGAAGGTTCGTGATGGGCTAAACCAGTGTTTCTCAACCTTGGAAGCTTGAAGATGGGTGGACTTCAACTCCCAGAATCCCCCAGCCAGCGCTGCTGGCTGTGGGATTCTGGGAGTTGAAGTCCACCCATCTTCAAGCTACCAAGGTTGAGAAACACTGCTCTAGAATAAATCAAATAAAAAAGGATGGCCTGAAGGTGGAGCAGTTGTGAGCCACCCGAGACTGGATGTGTGTGTATCGGTCCATCACAATGACTGGATGATATGAGACACACACACACACACACACACACACACTCTTTTCTTGCCCTCTTAAAGATACTGCGAGGCCCTGACCTACCTGGTGTACGCTTACGAGACCAACACCGTCCTGCAGGCCAAAGGAACCAGCCGGGGTGCGGACTCCTCTCTGATCGCTCTTTACAGAAGGAAGTGCCTCTTGGTGGGTATTCACAGGACCCTTCCCCTTCTTCCCACTCCTTCAAGCGGGTGGGTGGGCGGGGCCAGAGTTTTCACATCATTCCTCTCGCTGTCATTCGGGCTTATGTTGAAAATGGGATATCGATGAATGCTCCGGTAGTCCTCGACTGACAACACTTCATTTACTGACCGTTTGAAGTTACAATGGCACTGAAAAATGTGACTTACGACCACTTTTCACACTTACGACCGTTGCTGCATCCCCCCCCATGGTCACGTGACTTACAGTCAGATACTTGACAGCTGACTCACATTTATGACGGTTGCCGTGTCCCGGGGGTGGGGTGGGTGTCACGTGATCCCCTCTTGCGACCTCCTGACAAGCAAAGTCTGTCAGTCAGTCAGTGGGGAAACCAGATTCACTTCACCACCCTGTTAACTAATTTAAGAACTGCAATGATTCACTTAACAGAGGTGGCGAGGAAAGTCGTAAAATGGGACAAAACACACTTGACAAATTTCTCACTTAGCAACATAAATTGTGGTAAATTGAGGACTACCTGTATTTTTTTAAAAATTCACATCAAGTGCCTGCCAATGGTTATCCTCCCAGCCTGCCGCTCTTAATTTAGAAGTTGTTGAAAATTTTGAACTTTGACACCAGTTTAACTTTGGGGGTCATTCTTTCAGCTATTTCCTTTTTTATTTTTTAGCCCTCCCCAACAGATTCTGCGCGTAACCGGTTCTCTTGATGGCTGGACTTCAACTCCCAGAATCCCCCAGCCCTCTTGACAAATGCGGCACTAACTGTACTGTGTTTCTCAGCCTTCCAGGCCTTCAGAGGCATGGCTGGCTGGGGAATTCTGGGAGTTGAAGTCCAGCCGTCTTCAAGTGGCCGAGCTCGAGAAATACCGCTTTATAGAAAAGGAATAGCTGGGCCAAAGACCCAGGCTCGGTTGTTTTAAAACATCCCGTCCGAATTGTTGGAGGTGTGGACACAAACAAGGGACATTCTACCACATGTGGTGGACCTGTCCTAAGATTAGGAAATCTTGGGGCAAGATTAAAAAATGGCTGGATGAAATAACAGGGCAGAAGATAGAAAGAAAGCCAGAGTTCTTTCTCCTGGATATTCTGGAAGGGAAAATGCAGAAAAGTATACAATATATCATATTACACATACTAACGGCAAGTAGAATTGTGATAGCACAAAACTGGAAACAACCAGACACCCTTCCAGATCAAATCATAATAAAAAAAAAATGTGCAGAGATGGACAGATTATCTAGAGAAATGAAGGAGAGGGAGGACACCGAGTACTATTTAATATGGAATAAATGGTATTCCTGGCTGGAGAGTAAACATAAAACTTAAGGGATGGTTTTGTTATGAGATCAAATTGTAAATAGAAATCAAGATAATTTAAATAAAGATGTAAGTTTAAGATGGAGATATTTAGAAGCAGAATTTGTATAAAGAGGCTAAATAGGTCAGAGATACCGATGCAGAAAAGTTGTTCTTAGTATTGAAATTTTGATATGTTTGTTTCTGGTTGTTTATATTTTTTGTTTTGTGTGTGTGTGTGCGTGTGTTTTTTTTCTTGCTTTTTTTGTGTATTGTGTTTCGTTTTGTACTGTGTATTTTAAACTTTGGAAATTTAATAAATATTATTTTAATAAAACGCCCCGTCTGAATGCTGGGACGAGCCTCTCTCGAGTTCCTCATCAACCAACTCCCGCCGGTGCTTTTCCGCAGAGGCTGAACGACGCTGCAGCCGCCCTCTTCGAAAGCAACGACGGGAAGGAAGTGGACGAAGGGGTGAGCGTCCTGAACGAGCTCATCATCCCCTGCATGCACCTGATCATGAGCAACCACGTCTCCAGAGACGACCTGGACGCCATCGAAGTCATGAGGAACCGCTGGTGTGCCTACCTGGGAAAGGACGTGGGTGGTAAGACAGGTGTCCTGGGCACCACACCAACTTCCTTCTGCCTGCTCTCGTTGCCTCTCGGGATTCTGTTTGTTGGTACTTGTAAGGAATCATCTGCATATTCACGAAGCTTTAACTTTTATCTGCTGGTCTCTCCACTCATTCCTCTACATTGCAATGGTGGGTGGTGGGTTGTTTTTTTTTTTTAGTGTATACAGAATTTTATCAAAGTTATCAAAATGGAAGTAAAAATAATGATAGTAGGACAATGGGGAAGGGGGGGGCGAGGAGAGTGCAAAGTGTAAATAGGAAACAACAGAAAGAAAAGCCATTAACCTCCAATTCTTTTCAGCTCAGTAGAATGAAGGTAAAATAACATTTCAGCTTCGCTTTTTTTAGTTTTGCACGCTTGGAATACACCAGCCGTTTCTATCGCAACAAACTTATCAGCAAATCAGGGTTTCATTTTTTCCCCCTGTCTCAAGCACAACATCTAGAAGCAGTTTCCAAGCAGCCATAAAACGGGGATGTATTTTCTTTGATAAAGGCAGCTCATTTGGCCCTCTCTGCTAGCTCTACCAACACTCGGAAGATGATGGAAGATTGAATTTCCCTCTGGAGGACCAGGTTATATATCCTGTGTGGTTGATAGTCCTGGATAATAGATTCAAATCACTCTGGACCTGGAGTTCTCTGTGACTTTAAGAGGAGAAGCTTGTCAACTGATGGTTACTCCAGTGCAAGCAAGTTTCAACGCCTTCCTCCGTTGAGGGAGGGGGCATGCCTGAGCTTGCTTCTTGGGGAGGAGTTGCAGCAAAGCATTCTCTGTGGCCTGAAGTGGTTAAGGCGCAACCTCTGCGCATTCAGGAGACTCCCGGTTACTCCATTTTCGTGGCAGCAGGCTGACCCTGGAGATCCAGAGCCATCAAAAGCTCAGCAGCCCATCCAGTTTCCTCAGAGAAGCCTGAGAGAAGAAATCCCAGATTTCTGGGAGGCAGGTGGTTCTGCCCGAGGGAAAGGCTCATTCTTGGGAACAAAAAAAAAAAAAAAAGAGCTAAAGAAAATAAGGTCATCTGGATTAATTAAGCTGCTGTATTTTTTTTATTTATTTATTTATTTATGTAGAAATTTATGTAGCTGCCCAACACCCCGAACACAACTCTGGGTAACATACAACCGCCACCGCTAAAACAATACGACAACCCTTAAAACAATTAATCATAAAGAAAGCCAAGATTGTGAGAGAATAACAACCACCCAAAGGCAAAACGGTCACCTCACAAGCTCCCCAGGGGTTCTCCGAGGTTGCTGGCAGGGATGGGGCTGACCTCCTTCCAGGTTCCTCTAGGGCAGTGTTTCTCAACCTTGGAAACTTGAAGATGGATGGACTTCAAGCTACCAAGGTTGAGAAACACTGCTCTGGGGGGAAGCTCTTTGGCAGAAGTTCTTTGGCAGCATACCGTCCCTCTCCTGACAGACCTGAGATGTCTCCTCCATCTTACGTGGAGCTACTGAGGAGCTGCTTTGAAGGGGCCAAGCTTGCCCGTGGTCCTTAACCTTCTCTTTCTTCTCCTGCAGAGAAGTTGCAGATGAAGCTGGGCGAGTTCCTGCCCCGCCTGCTGGATTGTTCCCCGGAAGGGGTGGTTCTCAAAGAGCCCCCCAAGATCCGCCCCAACTCACCCTACGACCTCTGCAGCCGATTTGCAGCTGTGATGGAGTCCATTCACAGGGCCTCAGCGGTGGCCGTGAAATAAGAGCGGCCAGCTCTCTCGGCTCAAGCCCCGCAGGCCCCCTGAGCCCCCACCCCCCACCCCAGGAGCGGAATCCGGTTGCCAGACGACTCTGGGGAAGGATGGATCCTCGAGGGACAGGGGGGCTGCGCTGAAAGACTCCTCCTTCCGCCCGAACAGCTGTGCATGTCTAGGAAAGAGGTGGCAGGGGTGGGGGTCTCGGACATGCCCTAGTTGCATGCAGGCATGGATTTTGGAAGACCCACTTGTTAATTATTGACTTTAGTTCCTGCAAGGAGCTTGTGGGGAGAGTTTTTAGGAGAAATCTGCCCTTTTACACTAAGCGTTGTATATAGACAATTCCATTTTGCCAAGTTGGCGCTTGATCGGGCCAGTGGTTTCAGGGGCTTCTTGAGCGCATTCTGTGTGGACCCCGTGAACTTTTTAAAGGCACCTGCCACACATGTTGATCTCCCAACGGCACCGCTGGGCTCCATGAATGGTGCAATTAATTGGGAGGAGGACTGCATGGAAAATACTGGCAAGGGGCACTTGATCCTTGCTGACCTTCAAGTACAGCAAGTTCGGGCATAAGTCAAGCCATCGGCAGGGGGTTAAATAACACACAGGATAGATCTGGGTGAAGGAACCTTAATTGTAAACAAGGTTTTCTCGCAGTGAGTCAATGCACGTGTTAGCAGTCCCTCTGCTCTCTTAGGCAGCCATTCTTACGGGTGAGCCACTTGGCATGCAGCTGTTGCCCTGGCTGCTGGTTTAAGCACTGGCATTTGTGCCAGGGGAGGAGGAAGAGGAGGACAAAACTGCAGAACCAGCAGAAGGCTGAGATTGGAAGCCGCTTCCTTGAACCTTCCCCCAAATAATTTTTTGAACGTCAAATCACCAAAGTTTAATTACCAGGGTAGTATTGGCAAAGTATGCACTGAAGTCAGGACAAAACCAAGCTGCATAAGTCACACTTTTAATGGTTATATTTTTTTCCTCAAGATCTTTTAAAGCAATCTGTTTTTTATTAGAATGCTAACAAATTGAGATGGGAAATACAAATCTGATGAGATTTCTGGTTTCAAAGTGCAATAAATATTACCCTACTTAAAGATATTTGTGATTTTGTTTCTATCCCTGAAAACGGCAGACTTAGTAAAATTAGAAGAAAATTACTGCTTCTAATTTTCAGCAGTAATTCTGAAGCCTCAAGGCAATGCCGCCCGTGGCAGTTATTTCACACACACAAAAACCAACAACCCCTTTAATTTCCTTAGATTTGGGGAATAAATAAATTCCTCCATCACCTCTGGCTGTGATCCCCAAAGAGGTTGGCAGCCTGCCAGCGCATGCCTCCGATTGCAGAAGGTTGACTCTAGAACTGTTTTGAAGTTGGAAACTCTTCCTACGTGACCTTTCTATCAAAAAAGGGTGGCACAACAATCCAGCTGTTGTGTCCCCTGTCGACGAGAGGTTGCCTTAAGGAGGCTTCAGATGCTAAGACTATTCGAAAGGAGAGTTGGCTGAACAAAACAAGGCTGGCTCCTGAATTCATCCGTGGAAGCTCACCTGGTGCCTTGGCTTGCGGGTTTCCTTTCTTCTGCCCCCTTCTGAAACTATTATCCGAGTAGCCCAAAGTCTCTGCCCAAGATTGCTGATCTTCTCTTATGCCAAGTAAGAGAGTTCCAATTTCCTGTAAGCGCTTAATTGCTTTTTAAAGCCTAACAATGCTTGTTGAATGGACCTTTATTTTTGCAGACATTCTATCCTCGACTGACATTCCTTCCATCATTAAACCGGGGTGTTTCTTACGTCATGCTTCTCCAAAAGATTAAAAGTGGGGGCAGGGAGGAGAGAAAGCATTGTCTCCTGCATAAGAGTAGATACAGGCCCACGGACCCTGGAACAGCACATACTCAATAATACATTTCTAATTTGCACTTAGGGAGAACAAGCTACACAACACAACACAACACGATGCCGGGTTGTCCCCTTGTCAGTGTGATTTCCCAAGCCATCCTTTGCAGAAACCTAAACCCTAGCTCTTCAATGTTCCACGCGTCGAACCATCGTCCCATTCCAGGCGGGATCCAGAAGCTCAGGAAAGTGCCGTCAGATGACAAGGTCTGCAATTTTAGGGGAAGAGGGTGGATGCTGGATGGCGAGCGTGGCTACCTCCCCTTTGTGGTGGATTGCCGGCCTCTTAGATGCCTTCGGGGTCTTTAGGAAACAGGCAGCACCGATGACAAGGCAGCCACCCAACAGGAGGAAAAATGCAGCAAACCAGCCCAGGAAAAGGGCGTCGCCGAATTCCCACCTCGGGACGACATCTGGTATGGTTTGATCCCAAAAGTCTTGCACCGTGTTGTAGGCAACCCAGGAGATGGGAACAAGAGTTGTCATTCCAGAAATGCAGAAGAGAACGCCGCCTGTGATCCCCAAGGGTCTCTTCTGCCTTGAGTCGCTGGTCTTCAGGCAGTTCGATCCCAAAAGAGCCAAGGAGAATGCCAGGAAGCCCAGTCCGTTGGAAGTCACCATCAGAACCCTGGAGATCTTGATCTCCAAAGGCAGGGCCAGGAGGGAAGCGTAGTTTTCACACTGCAAGACCGCTTGACTGACACAGGTCTGCCAAAGGCCCATATTCCAGATTTCAAGGTCGTTGAGTTCCAAGTTGAGGCTCTTCCAGAGAGGCACGTAAGTCGTCACGCACGACAGGAGCCAACCGAAGAGGGAGACGAGCAGGCCACTCAGCTGAACGGTGGTGCTCTGGTGCCAATCCATACCTGGAGAGTTGGACGGCCTCTTCTTAAGATGACCTTTGAGCTTTTTGTCCAAAGCGTGGATGAAAACGTTCCTGCAGCATTTTATGCTGTCAGGAACCTGCTATAATTGGCTGCAAGGACAGAATAGATCTGATGTGGTGCCAGTTCTTTTCTTTCTTAACAGTATAGGTGGAGAAACTGATTCTGATAGCATTAATTCTTGGGTGTGGCCACAAGTCTTTTTTCATACCTGGTTGGCCTTATTTCTTCCTTTAAAAAAAATAAAAAAGCAAAAAGAGAACCCAACCCTCTGCTTCCTGGTTTTTTTTTTTTAAAACAAACCCTTCCAAGTCCAGAAAGCAGAAATCTCACCGTTTGCTGAGCTCCAGAAACCCACTTTGCAATCTCTTTCGAACACAAGACGCCTTGCATTCAGCAAGCCACACAAACAAAGCCATCCACGGATGATACCGAAGGACTAAAATCCTGTCTCTCACTTCCTGGATGGTGTAACAAATAATGAGTTTCATTGGTTACGAGTATTGCCCTCGGTTCGAACACGTTCATGAACAGGCACTTCCAAAGCCGGTTGATATATATATATATATATAAATATAAAAAGGAATGTAAGCTAGTCCGTGTCGTAAAAACAAAGTGGATTTCACACAAGTTGGAAGTGTGTCGCCTTCCAGGTGTCGTCTTCCGTAAGCCGATACACAAACAACGTCTATCTGTAAAAGGATTTTCCTTGTTATTGCAGGATTACTGTCTCTTTCCTACTCATCTTTCTTCCGATAGCAAGTAAGGTGCTGCTGCTACTGCTTTCCTCTTCCAGGAGTTTGATCTTTAGACTGGAATATTGGTACTTGCTCTAGCCTGTTGAAGGCTAACATCAATTATAAACAAAGTGAGTAGAAAAGAAAACCTCACCTTTCAGGTTTCTTATAAAAAAAAAGAGGAATTCCGATGAGCTTTTCTGGAAAATCCAACCATTGTTATCTTCTCTTCTTTTAGGCCCAAAATAAAACCTGCACCGTCCACAGCGGGTCTCTCTTGAAAGATGATTCGGGGAGAAATTCCATGCTTTTCTGGAATTCAGGGCAAAGCCATCCGAGAAGCTCTTTTCCCAATTATTAGAAACTATCCCATTGGGATTGGTGGCAGTGCTGCCAATAAGTTATCTTGACTCTGTATCGCTGGAAGGCAGAGTTAGCACCTGTGGGGTTTCCGGCTGCTTGTGTTGAGGAAAAAAGCTCCCCGGTCCAATTTATAAAGTAAGCTGAGTGCTTATTTGAGCTTTTGAGCAAGGAGCTAGTCCCTGTTTCTCTCTCTCTCTCTGGGTGTGCCTGCCCCGTCTTTCCATATTCAACACAGGTAATTATACTTCTAACAATTAGGACCCATTCAGCAGGAGAACAAACATACCTTCATTATCTGCTTCCTCTTAACCAAACCAGTTTACACCTCGTTGTTAATCTTTTGAAGTTGTCAAGGCTAAATCCCACATCTATTCCCCCCCCCCCCAAGAAAATTGTAGGAGGTCAGAGCTGCAGTTTCCTTGCAATTGTTTCTCAAACGGGGAGACAGTTTTCAGATCAAAGGACCAGTGATAAGAACTTGACTAACAACAATTCATTTAGGGACCATTCAAAGTTGCAACGGTACTGAAAAACCGACTTATGACCGTTTTTCACACTTATGACGGTTGCAGCATCCCCACCGGTTCTGTGATCAAAATTTAGACGCTTGGCAACTGACTCATATTTATGATGGTGGTAAACCCCCCCCCCGGGTCATGTGATCACCTGTTGTGAAATTCTGAGTAGCAAAGTCAACGTGAGGAAGCAGGATTCATTTAACGACCGTGTTACTAACTTAACAAGTGCGGTGATTCACTTAGCAATCGTGGCAAGAAAGATTGTAAGATGGGGCAAAATTCGCTTCAATGTTTCGCTTAGTCTTTGGCTCAATTGTAGTCATAAGTCAAGGACTTCCTGTACAGTGTAGTCGACTTATGTCTTTTCTTATTGCTTCTTTTTTCCCCCCCCCTTCTTTTTGTGCCGTGATTTCTTCTTCCAACGTTTTAAAACAAAACAAAACCCAACTCCTATCCAGATACCCTTTAGCTACAGGTTAGTCGCTTGAAAACCACAATAAAAACAGCAATAGGACAATTGATGCTACTTCAACAGTTCTGAATCTCAGTCAGATCCCAGGCCGTGAAATGCAAAGCTGACCTGAGCAGGTGAGGCCAGCACATCTCACGGGCTCACCTGAGCTGGAGGAAGCTCAAAACACGAGTGCAGAAACCAGAATGCTATCAAAGTTCACCGAACCAAAGGGAGAGGCCGGCATCTTTCAGGATGTATTGTGACAATGCAAATAAATAAATAAATAAATAAATACATTTCAGGTCAACTCGACCAGTCTGTCCCAAAACTCGGGTCCAAAATTCAGGCGTGGCAGAACAAGTGAATGATGAAATCTTACAGGGCGCGAAGGATGACTTGTGCAAAGAAGGAAACCCAGCATGGTTAATAGCAGCACTAGATCTTGAGGGATAAACGGAGCAGACAGCTTGAATCATACCCGGAGCAGAGCCATATATAAATCAAGTAGAATTGAATTAACACTTGAATCCCATTGACTTCTCTGGATCTACTCCAAGAAAAGCCAGGAGTGGATCAAATCCATTCATCCCAGCCTGGACAGGGGTGAAATCCAGCAGGTTCTGACAGGTTCTGGAGAACCGGTAGCGGAAATTTTGAGTAGTTCGGAGAACCAGCAAATACCACCTCTGCCTGGCCCCAGGAGTGGGGTGGGGATGGAGATTTTGCAATATTCTTCCCCTGACACGCCCACCAAGCCATGCCACACCACGGCCACCAAGCCACGCCCACAGAACCGTTAGTAAAAAAATTTGGATTTCACCGCTGTTCCTGGATCAAAAATACTGCCTCTAAGGGTAGCCTAACAGGAAAACACAACCATCCATACCTCCAAGTATTAGCAATGAACTCACAATGAGGCAAACTCAGCTTAATGATTGAACTTGCAGCTCTGTCTGTATAGGTCCGATTTGACCATGTTAAAATGCCTGGACTTCAACTCCCAGCATACTGACCAGGGAATCCTCTCAGTTGAAGTCCAGGCACCGGACATCTCTTAAGGTTGATAAACACTGGTAATTGGACTTACAAGAGCCCTTTCTCAGGAATTAAGGTATGTTGCACATTGGAGAAGACCTTGGAGCGTCTCGAATGAAGTTTAAATGTCTATGGAGATTCTCAGTCACCCAGGTTCTGATTGTCCCAAAAGTACTTTTTCAAGAGGCAACTGGACTTTCTGGGGGGTTTTCTCTGAAGACGTTTCGCTTCTCATCCAAGAAGCTTCTTCAGCTCTGGCTGGATGGTGGGGAAGGAACAAAGGAAGTGAGAAAGAGAAGGAGGGAGGGAGGGAAGGAAGGAAGGAGAGGGTGGTAAGAAGGAAGAAATGGAAGTCTATGGAGATTCTCCGTCATCCAGGTCATGGTTGTCCCATGTTGTGCTTTTTCAAGAGGCAACCGGACTTTCTGGTTTTTCTTTGAAGACGTTTCAGTTCTCACCCAAGAATCTTCTTCCACTCACTGAAGAAGCTTCTTGGATGAGCTGAAGAGCCGAAGAGCAGAGCTGAAGAAGCTTCTTGGATGAGAAGCGAAACGTCTTCCAAAAAAACCCAGAAAGTCCAGTTGCCTCTTGGAAAAAAAGCACCTTTGGGACAAATGAAGTTTAAGGTTGTAGCAAATGCCACTTGCCAACTTGTTCCCAGAGAGCACCGTCAAAGTAATTAAGATTTCCTGTGTGTATTAATAAACCTTGAGCCGTTTACAACAGGGGCTCAACAGCTATATATAACCAGCGGGTTAACCACTGCTATTTCGAGGCTTCCCCGGGAAGGTTTGACTACAGGTTGATGGCTTTCTCCTCTCTGGCACCTGGATTTAGAACAGTGCTTGGCCGTGACTTCATAACGTCTTTAGCTTTCTTTCCTCCCCCTCCTCCACCCCCTGCACCAGATGCAAAGTGGTTTCTGATATCCATTGATAGCAGCAAACTTCTTTGTTCCTCGCAATTTGAAGCTCGGGCTGGTGTTTATTTCAGGAGCTGGAAGTTGGTTTGGTAGGAACCAGAAATGAGGTGGAAAAAGAGACAAGGCAGCGGTCCTGGACAAGGAAATCCCAAGTAAGGCTGGGAAATCCCTTCAGGAGGGATTGTAAAGCTGCACCCATGGGTTGATTCCTGTTTTAAAAAGGAAGGCCAGGGTTCAAGCTACGGCTTAGGTCAGGAGGGTCTGCTGAGGACCTTTCTCTGAAGACGTTTCGCTTCTCATCCAAGAAGCTTCTTCAGCTCTGGCTGGATGGTGGGGAAGGAACAAAGGAAGTGAGAAAGAGAAGGAGGGAGGGAGGGAAGGAAGGAAGGAGAGGGTGGTAAGAAGGAAGAAATGGAAGTCTATGGAGATTCTCCGTCATCCAGGTCATGGTTGTCCCATGTTGTGCTTTTTCAAGAGGCAACCGGACTTTCTGGTTTTTCTTTGAAGACGTTTCAGTTCTCACCCAAGAATCTTCTTCCACTCACTGAAGAAGCTTCTTGGATGAGCTGAAGAGCCGAAGAGCAGAGCTGAAGAAGCTTCTTGGATGAGAAGCGAAACGTCTTCCAAAAAAACCCAGAAAGTCCAGTTGCCTCTTGGAAAAAAAGCACCTTTGGGACAAATGAAGTTTAAGGTTGTAGCAAATGCCACTTGCCAACTTGTTCCCAGAGAGCACCGTCAAAGTAATTAAGATTTCCTGTGTGTATTAATAAACCTTGAGCCGTTTACAACAGGGGCTCAACAGCTATATATAACCAGCGGGTTAACCACTGCTATTTCGAGGCTTCCCCGGGAAGGTTTGACTACAGGTTGATGGCTTTCTCCTCTCTGGCACCTGGATTTAGAACAGTGCTTGGCCGTGACTTCATAACGTCTTTAGCTTTCTTTCCTCCCCCTCCTCCACCCCCTGCACCAGATGCAAAGTGGTTTCTGATATCCATTGATAGCAGCAAACTTCTTTGTTCCTCGCAATTTGAAGCTCGGGCTGGTGTTTATTTCAGGAGCTGGAAGTTGGTTTGGTAGGAACCAGAAATGAGGTGGAAAAAGAGACAAGGCAGCGGTCCTGGACAAGGAAATCCCAAGTAAGGCTGGGAAATCCCTTCAGGAGGGATTGTAAAGCTGCACCCATGGGTTGATTCCTGTTTTAAAAAGGAAGGCCAGGGTTCAAGCTACGGCTTAGGTCAGGAGGGTCTGCTGAGGACCTCCACGAGTCATGAAAGGCTTCCAACTCCAGGGGTTGAGCAGTCTCTTATTTCCATATATACTATACTATACTATACTATACTATACTATACTATACTATACTATACTATACTATACTATACTATACTATACAATACAATACAATACAATACAATACAATACAATACAATACAATACAATACAATACAATACAATACAACACAACACAACACAACACAACACAACACAACACAACACAACACAATAAAATACGAGTTGGAAGGGACCTTGGAGGTCTTCTAGTCCAACTCCCTGCTTAGGCAGGAAACCCTATACCACTTCAGACAAATGGTTACCCAACCTCTTCTTAAAAACTTCCAGTGTTGGAGCATTCACAGCTTCTGGAGGCAAGTTGTTCCACTGATTAATTGTTTTCACTGTCAGGAAATTTCTCCTTAGTTCTAAGTTGCTTCTCTCCTTGATGAGTTTCCACCCATTGCTTCTTCTCCTGCCTTCTTTGGTGCTTTGGAGAATAGCTTGACTCCCTCTTCTTTGGGGCAGCCCTTGAGATATTGGAAGGCTGCTCTCATGTCATCCCTGGTCCTTCTTTTCATTATACTAGACATACCCAGTTCCTGCAACCGTTCTTCATTGTGCAGGTTCCTTCAATCAGACATTAGTAGAGCATCCAAGCTCACCATTCTGCCTCATCCAGACCTCTCTTCGTCTTTTATCTACATGTTTCGTTGCAAAAACGGACCAAGTCACATCAGCGAGATCTTGCTGCAATACTTTTGGCTTACCACCTTACTAGACCGGACAGGATTTAATATTAAAATCATTAGCAGCATCTCAGTTTGCAAGAATCCTCCAGGGCAAAATACTGGTCCTTGGAGAGTGAATATGCATGGGGCAGAAGTCTCATTCCACCCACTTTGCCGACTCCCTGCCCTGACCCATAAATTGCTCAAATGCATTGCCTAAGTCCTTCCTATTGGACTGGGCTGAGGCGGGGCAAGAGACCATCCCAGTCTCAGGGCCCAGAGGCTCCTGCTGAAGGGCCACCAGGTGAAAAGAGAAATGGAAAAAGGGACCCTGCGAGGCTTAGGATAAATACTGCTCCATCTTTTTTTTTTAGGCCAAAGAATTTGAAAGAATACAATGCATTTTGTAAATAAAAATGGTGACAGTTTATTAGGTGCAAATAGAAATACACGTTATTTCCATAGCAAGGAAGATAAAGCAGGAATGGTTAACTTGATCACTTTATTTAAAGAGAAAAGTATGTTCTTATTGATTGATTGATTGATTGATTGATTGATTGATTTGATTTGATTTGATTTGATTTGATTTGATTTGATTTCTATACCGCCCTACTCCCGAAGGACTCAGGGCAGTGCACAGCCAAACAATAAAACACATACATACAAAATTTAAAAGTAGAATAAAATCAAATTAAATAATTTTGGCTCCGACAAATTTAAAACCCCAAACTTTTTAAAACCAATTTTAAAATTGAATGTATAAAATACTAAAAGATATTTAAAAATTAAAAATCTTTTATAAAAGAGGGAGAAAATTAGGCCAGGCCCGCCTGGTGAAATAATTTGGATATCACTTCTGGAATTTGTGCTTGTGAAGGAAAAAAGTGAAACTGGTTTTGTTGATTAGAAAGATTTGGTCTTATAGAAATGGCTAGTTATATATTAATGTGTAAAAGCAAAAAGTTGAGGCTGGAGGGTGTTTATCTTGTACTGTACTCGTTGGAAGTCAATGTCCTCTTTTCTTTCTTTTTCTCTTTCCCCTTGTATTTCACCCCCCCTCCTTTCCCTGTTCCCTTTCCCTCGCTTAATTTCCTATTTCCTTTTCTTCTTTTTTTTTGTATTTTATATTTTATATAATAGAAATAAAAATGTAAAAAAGGAAAACACTGCTCCATTTCATATCCAGGCAAGTCAAGGAATCTCTAGAACAGAGTTTCTCAGCAACTCTTAAGACGTGTAGACTTCAGCTCCTACCATCCAGGTGTCTTCTCCTCTCCCCAAATATTAATTTCGACAGAATTGAAACTTCACTTTATTTCTGATGGATCCTCTTAACCCCTCTGAGGAGAAGTTCCTTCCTGTGAAGTATCCTTGTAAGACCAGGGAATACCCCTAGAAAGTTGAGGTTCAGAAGCTGGTGACATTGGGGAGGAAAATGGGGATTCTGTTTGATTTGCTTGTTTTAAGAGTTTAGCAGGAAAAATTGGTCGAGCGAGGACAACGAGGCCTTCGCAAATTGCAACCGTGTTCATACCTGGATGCTGGCTTGGGATGTGTCTTTTCAACCCACTTCACTTCAAGCCTGCAAGAAGTTGTGAAACGGTCCTGGGTGAGAAACAAAAGTCACGGGGAGCCCCACGGGACTCCTTAAGCCTGCCGTGTCTTTCACCCAAGTTTTCACCACTTCATGGTTTTGTCATTCAAACGTTCTCCCTGGAACTCCTCCTGGGGATTAGGCTCCAGCGTTTCGGTTAACTGGTTTTTCCTCTGCCTAGCCTTGCCTGGGTGTGCGTCTCCTTAAATGCCTTTATAGGTAGGTGGAGGTGTAAAATTAGACTTTTAATCTCTCCCCAGGAGTTTTTCAGGAATTTTCCAGGTGGAGGAGATGAAACTCAGGGTGAAATCCAGTTTTCCTCTTGAGCTCTCTTTGTGTATATATTTATTTATTTATTATTATTACTATTATTATTCCCGGTGTTTCCTTTCCTGTAGGCAGTCATTCTCATGAAGTCTTAGCATTTTTCTGTGTCCCACAGACGTCATCGTCTCTTGCAAAGCCTGGGCAGAAGTGGGTTCTTTTGCCCATGAACATTTTTCGCCAGGACGGAAGTGCTGGCAGATTAACCCTATGGGCACTCGAGTCTCCCACCCAGCGCTATTCCTCCTCCTCTTCCTCCTCCTCCTCCTCCTCTGATTAAATCATCTTGAGATAATTCTGCCTGTCATTGAAGCAGATTAACTGATGACCTTCTCCTTGCAAGGCTGAATTGAAAGGCAGTTTTCTGGCTCCCTTCCTCACTTCTGTGAATGTTGAAGGCTCCGAGTGGGAGACGGAGATGGCTCGCCCTTCCAGGATGGATGGAAACCTTTCTGGGAGAAGGATGCGGCTTAAATTGAACCTCTGCTCTTGAGCACAGCTGGAGGGCTCAAGAAGGACCAGCCGGACAGATTTCTGCAGAACAAGAGGCTTCCCCGTAACTTTGGAGCTCCCTGACCTGGCCCTCAGATCACATCCTGCAGCAAATATGAGGTAGGTGCACCATTCAACACCAGCCATGTCTAGAATAGAGATTATGGACCGAAGGGGTCGTTCTTCGGTGTGTAAATTAATATATGAGATCTTGCTTCCTGATTCCTTTTAATTTAGGACCAGTTTGGGCTAAAGAGATCTCTTTGGGTCCTTCTTCCGAAGACAGATTCTTCCAGTCTAGGATTCCCCTGGCAATTCCTTGTATTTGTGGTAGTGGGTCCTTCAGTTGCTTTAGTCAAGAAGGAGGGTCTCTCTGCCATTTACCCCTCTCCCATGATCTCCATTTACTCCCCAGTTACTCGTTGGTTGGGGATACCTCTGGAAGCCAAGCTTTGACTCCTCCAAGATTGCCTTCTCCTCAGCCCAAAATGGCCGTTCCTGCCATTGCCCTCCACCTTCGTCCATGATGCCCTTGAGGGATCTCCTAAAACTTCAGCTGGTGCGAAATACAGAGTTGACTTGGGGAGGGTTTGTCTTAGCTCTGCCCCATCTGAAGCCCCCTGACTCTATTGGCACAATCACTTCCCAGAATTATCTCGTCTGGCAGTTCTGACAGTTGCCGTCCCAGTATAATGGACGCAACCCCGACGGGGAAGGCTAGCCTGGGCATCGTCCCAGAACCTTCCAAAATTCCAGGTCCTCGGTATGATACGGTTCCCTGCGTGTAGCCAAAGCAGCCGTATCGTCCCAGTTCCTGCAGGTGGAGTTTATAAAACCGCAATCTGTTATTTCCTATTCTCAAGTTGTTTTGCTTTGGGGGTTTTTTGGGGAGGGAGGGGGCTTCCTCCCAAGAAAGCTCTCTCCCCCAAACAAATCCAAAGGATGGCAGGGTATGGAAAGAAAAAAGGTGCAAAAAAAGAGACATTTGTGTGTCCGCCTGACTGCTGGATGACTCCGTCCCCCCGTGAAGAGAGATCCTGGCCCCACGTCTTCACCTGGCACATGCCCAGAGGGCTCTAAATCCAGGGGAAGAAAGCTGAGAATCTCCTGCCTTTGCCATCTGTGAATTGCTCTTCCGGCCTGAAATTGGTTTTGCCATCTGCTCTTCACTGTCACTCACTGTCACTGGTTTGAGATGGGCTGCTGGAAAAAACGGAGTACACAACTCAATAAAATGCAAGGGGGGGATGTTATATAAAATCAGTCTTCCCATGCTCTCACCCAGTGTGAGCAAACAGCCAAGATTTTAAGGCCATCATTTTAACCCGTCGACAGTCCAACGCAACTTTGGACACGCACAGCCAAACTGTAGCAAACAATCAGTTAAAACTAGGGAGGGAAACTTCATGTTCTTCCCAGATTTTTTTTTTTTTTAATTTGATTTATATGCCGCCCTTCTCCGGAGACTCAGGGCGGCTTACAATGCGTTAAGCAATAGCCTTCATACTTTTGTATATTTATACAAAGTCAGCTTATTGCCCCCACAAACTGGGTCCTCATTTAACCTACCTTAGAAAGGATGGAAGGCTGAGTCAACCTTGAGCCTTGGAGAGATTTGAACCAGCAGTAAATTGCAGGCAGCTGTGTTAATAACAGGGTGCTTAGACCACTGTACTATCAAGGCTCTTGGACTGCTTAGGATCCAGTCTCTTTCGGTCTGGGGAGGAATCCCTGCTACCCCAGCGAGGTAGGCCCAGAAATAAGGAGGCTACATTACAGCTATATGCTTCTCCGCGGCTAACTTCTTGTTCTGTAGGTGAGCGGATAGTTATCCGGATTGATGTCCTAATCTGCCTCAAAAGACGAGTATTTAGCACTCTTATTTTAGATGGTGCTTCTGGGATAAAATTGGGGTATCAGGCTTGCAAAAGCTCTTGGCTTGCAAGGGTGTATTTGAACGTTGATCTCCAGGTCCATTTCATTCAACTTGAACTTTCTTCTCTATCTTCTACAGCAGTAGGACAATACTACTTTATTATTTGTTCATCAGTATTGGTGCTTTTGATAGTTCAACAGGTCAAACCTGAGGAATCAGTATTCCTCGGGATGTTGATGCACTACTTAATTATTGTACACAGTGGCTGAGGCCCTACAAATCCATCAGTCCGCAATAGTTGTCAAAATTGGAGAAGCGAATGATAGAAACGTCCTAATTACCAGGAAGGCTTTAAAACACTGTGTAGCTTTTGCAGATGAGAATTTTTGTTGCTATAGTGAAAGTTTCACATCCCCCAGCTACCTTTTGGGGGCATTGATAAGAGAGTTAGAACTGAATTTTTTTTTTAAAAAAATTCAAATTTATTCTGTCCCATTTTAATGCTTTATTTATTTAGGTTCTTCGTTCATCCATTTCTGGGTTTGTTTTATATCCTTCTCACTTTCTTTATATCAACCTATATAATCGATAAAACCGAACCCTGAAATGTTTGAATAGTTTTAAGCCTGATCTCTGAGTAAAGAATCATAAATCTGGATTCAAAAACTTGAATTAAGACAACTTGATTGGTGCCTGAAAAAGGGAATGAACTAGAATCTCCTCTATTCAAACGGCCATTTTCTCTTCCTTGCTACCCAAATCATGGCTTATTCTTTTTCCCATCTTCTCTGAAAGGCTCCCTCCTTGGAGGAAACATGATGTTTGGGATTAGACCAGCTTTCGTCTCAAGTAGCCATGGTGCTTCCTAATTGTAGGAGCAACATAGAATTGCAACTCGAAAATAACCCCTACATTTACGGCGATATCGGAGAAGAGCCGCTGAAATATGATAAATCCATGGTCCGCAGGAATTCCATCCCTCCAGCTAAGATCCCCACTGCAAAGTACATGTTGGCTTATCTTCCACGGCCTCCCACAGAAACAGACAGCCATGGGATCTCTTCTCCAAAGGTAGGTGCTCTGAATGATGTTGCTAGGTGCCTCTAGAGCAGGGGTCTGCAACCTTAAACACTCAAAGAGCCATTTGGACCTGTTTCCCACAGAAAAGAAAACACCGGGAGCCACAAAACCCTTCCCGTGCCTGACTATTTCTTGAGCGGCCACAAAACTAGCATATGTAGTTGAATTAAACATTCTGTTTTCTTCTGAAACTTTTCTTTTCTTGGATTTATCCATGGTTGGCCTACCAGGGATTGAAAAGCTCAATAAATCGCGTGCCAGCAGGTGTCGCACATTGGCGGTTGTGACGCATATTTTGAGTGTCGGGGAGCCGCAGCAGAGGGGTGAAAGAGCTGCATGCGGCTCCAGAGCTGCAGGTTGCTGACCCCTGCTCTAGAGTCTCCAGAGTGATTCTAGTCCAACCATGGTGACTTTAAGACTTGTGGACTTCCAACTCCCAGAAGTCTGTCTTAGAGTCTTAGAGTCGCCAAGGTTGGGAGACCAGAGCTCCAGATCTTCCTTCCATTTCACTTTTCCATTTTCTTGCTAATGACAGCTGGTATCTCAAGATTGTTCCTCTTAAAGTAACCTTAGAGGACACCTGTAGTAGTAGTCTAATTAAATTATTATATTCTGATTTATATTCATAAGGCAGGTTGGAATGAGATCCGATGGCATGGGTGACCAGCCCACCGTTTCTCTGATTTATACATTCATGGAGAGTTTCAGAACCTTGGCAACTTTTGTGTAGACTTCACACCTCTCATACTGGCCGGGGAATTCTGGGAGTTGAAATCTACACATCTTAAAGTTGCTGAGGTTAAGGCAGAACTGCAGGGAAGTTCAGATGTTTGACCAATGCCTAGTCAGCAAGAAGGAATGGGCTGTTTTTCTTAAACTGAAACGAATGAGGATTTGTGCTTTAGCGAAAAACTTTTGGGCACAATTGGGGTCGTAACTCGAGGACTACCTGTCCTTTGGTTTTTCTCCCCCCCCCCCCCCCAGGCTGAAATGACGACACCTTTGGAGAAGCGCCACCCGCGAGCCACAACCATGAGCGCAAACCAAAGCACCGTGTCTTGTAACTACCACCCCGTACTTTGCAGTGCGCCTGTCCCCAACGTCCGGTCGGTCCTTCTGCAGAAGAGACTCAGCATGGTGGAGCAGGCCAGTTTCAGTGCGGCTGGGCCTCCCAAGCACCAGCCTCCTTTCTCCAACAGCACAGACAAGCTGCCTAAATATTGCTGGCCCTCCAGGACCGACCCCCTGCCCCCTTCTCTCCTGCGGGAGTTCAATGCCCAACTCTACCCCCAGCATGCTTTCAGCGTGCCCAACATCGTCAACTCTTCCCGGAACAAGATCCTCACCCGCAGCGTCATCTCGATGCCCACCTCGGAGAAAGGGCAGAGCAAACTCTGCAAACTCATCGAAGACGACCGACAGTTTGTGGGGAGGAATAAACACGAGAGGCAACGTTACGTCACCAAAGTCGGGAAATGTAAGGTCAGCCTAGGCAACATTCAGGAGAAGAAGAGGTTCCTCTCGGACATTTTCACCACCATCGTGGACCTCAAGTATCGCTGGTTCCTCTTCCTCTTCAGCATGTGTTACATCGTCACCTGGGTGGTCTTTGGCATCATTTATTACACGGATGCCTGGATACGAGACGACATCAACCACATCGGGGACGTCGAGTGGAAGTCTTGCATCGAGAACATCGACAACTTCATCTCCGCCTTGCTCTTCTCGGTGGAAAGTCAACGGACCATCGGCTACGGATCCCGCATTGTGACTGCCAACTGCTCTGAGGGGGTCCTCTTGTTGATGGCCCAGTCCATCATCGGCTCCATGATCGACGCCCTCATGGTTGGGTGCATGTTCGTCAAGATCTCCAGACCCAAGAAGCGTGCCCAGACCTTAATCTTCAGCAAGACGTGCGTCATCTCCAGCCGGGATGAGAAGCTTTGTCTCATGTTCCGCATCGGAGACCTTCGGGACAGCCACATGGTGGACGCGAAAATCAGGGCCAAACTCATTAAATCCAGGCAAACCAAGGAAGGGGAGTTCATCCCGCTCGACCAATCCGAACTGAATCTGGGCTACGGCACGGGGGAGGACCGCCTCTTCCTGGTGGAGCCGCAGGTCATTTGCCACATCATCAACGAGGTCAGCCCTTTCTGGGAGATGTCTGCAGAGGCGCTGAAGAGGGAGCAGTTTGAAATCATCATAATCCTGGAAGGCATTGTGGAAGCCACAGGTGAGTGCATCGTCGCACAGCAGCCTCCTGTAGGAGAGACTTTGTAGGCTGTAGTCTCAGGTGTGACGTGTGATTGGGGAGCCTGTCATGCCTGTCACATTTCTAAAGTTTCAGAGCTGCCTTCGTACTATGTGGAACCTCAGGGAATCCAGATGTTGAATAACAGAACGGAGTAACAGAATAAGGGAGTTGGAAGGGACTTTGGAGGTCTTCTACTCCAATCCGCTGCTCAGGCAGGAAAAACTATACCATTTCACACAAATGGTTGTCCCGTCTCTTCTTAAAAGCCTCCAGTGATAGAACATCCACAGCTTCTGGTGGCAAGTGGTTCCACTGGTTAATTGTTCTGACTGCCAAGAAATTCCTCCTTAGTTCTAGGTTGCTTCTCTCCTTGATTAGTTTCCATCCGTCGCTTCTTGTCCTGTCCTCAGGTGCTTTGGAGAATAGTTTGACTCCCTCTTCTTTGTGGCAGCTGCTCCAATATTGGAATACTGCTATCGTGTCACCCTAAGTCCTTCTTTTCATTAAACTAAACATCCCCAATTCCAGCAACCGTTCTTCATATTTTAGCCTCCAACCCCCTAATCATTTTTGTTCCTCTTCTCTGCACTCTTTCCAGAGTCCATGTTGATTTTAGGTGCAACTCTGGTGCCGTTTCTTAATTCCCCATTTAATCCAGTGTTGCACCCAATCCATGCATAATATAGTTGCCGCCACACACCCCCAATCTTTACGCAGGTGTTACATATTGTACTAAGCCAAGATTTCGTTACCTCGAGGGCATTGCATAACTCACAAATACCTGGGTTTTTTTCTAACACGCTGAGGGCAGACCAAACAAAGCATCCTTTGGGGGGACTGGGGATTTTTCCCGTCATGGCATTCTTCAGCCAGGATGAGAGGAGGGGAAATATGTCATGTAAGACTCCAAATATAAGCAGATTTGAATTGTGTTTGGAAACTCATCAGGAGGTGAGAGGCTGTAGCGCTGGACTGGATTCATTAAAATTTCTGAGCAGAATGTGAGTTATTAGATCACAAAGGGAAGCCCGCTAACGTTAATCATCTGTCAAACCCCAGCTCAAATGCATATAAAGATTTGTTTGCAAGCTTAAGTTCCCTACAAGAATCTGAACTACTAACGTTCAGAGCCAATTGGCGGTAAATAAGAGTGAATGGAATTCAAGGTGGGCTGGATTATGATCCTTTGTGGGTGGGAAGGGATGCCAGACTGATAACACGTTTGTCTCCTCCTCCCTCGGCTTCCTACACTACGAATGTTGAATTTGTTCGATACCTCCCAGCCGTAGCTTGTCTTTTCACATTCTCTTATTTCAGGAATGACGTGTCAAGCCAGGACATCGTACATCGAGAACGAAATCCTCTGGGGCCACCGTTTTGAGCCCTGCATGACCCTGGAAAAAGGTGCCTTCCACGTAGACTACACCAAATTCGAGAGGACTTTTGAGGTGCAGACGCCGCTGCTGAGCGCGCGCGAGATCTACGACCTTAAAGAGTTGGAGAATCAGGAGCAATCGACACTGAACTTCTACTGGGATCATCTGGCTCAGCCTTGCTGTTCGGTAGAGCCCAACCATGAAGCCCAACGAGGGGGCTGCCCCAACGAGGAGAGCTTCTCCAACTTCACGGAGGAGAAGAGGAACAATGAATACCGCAATCACAGTACCAGGCTCTAAGCCTTTCGAACCAGCTTTCTGAAGCGTCTGTGAACCCACAAGGAGGAAAAGAAACAGCCGCGCACGGCTGCCTCGTCGTGCGGCTGTGTTGCAATCCACGGCGGAATCGAATGGAAAGCAGCGCATCGTCTTGTTTGGGCGCCATTTGGGATCACAAAACTCCCAACTGAACTGGTCATGTCTTTGGATTAGTCCTCCAATCAACGCCCTTCCCACTCGGAGCTGGAACCATGCCAGAGTCCGTGTTGCACTCCCAAGGGATTGTCTAGGAACTCTGGTTTCTGCAAGCAGAGATTACACATGGGGAACCTGTTGCCCTTTTTTTAAACAAAAACAAAAACAAAAGGTTGAACTACTTTTGTAGGCATGCCTGTCCTTGTCCAACGTTGTGGAACGGTTATTTGAAACGTGTTTGTTTGTTTTGCCACCGGGAAAAAAATCCTTGCGCCTGTGTTCTGCAGCCCACTCGGTCCTCCTCCTCTTTGCTGTGCCCCACATTTTGTACGTACCTGGCGCTGCAGCATGGCAAGCCACTGGCCTGGCCGCGGAAATGAATGTTTTTCATCTTTTATGGTGCCATAGGAACTCTCACGGTGGGTATTGCCCCCATCCCCTTTCTCCACCGGCCCACCAGGGCCTGCTACCTTTGTTTTATTTATTTATGTTTTGCCGAACTGATGCCTTTAGTTCCCGAACTCTCCTTCTGTACTTGTTTGCAGGGTCCGTGTGTGATTATTCTAAGCCAGCTTTTCTTTTGCCCACAAGGCTATCTGGAAGGGGAAAGGACCCCCGGGAAGCAATAAAGTTCCTTCTTGCACAGCACTCTGAAGCCACAGAGTGTGTCTCTTGTGTTGCGTCTCTTAGTCAATTGCTACCCATTGAGGCATGTCTTACTGGGTCTCCCTGCCTGCAGTGCTCCGTGGCTCCATAGCTCAGCGATGAGCATCCTGAGATGGCTGGAGACATTGCCTTGGTCAATGAGAATAGAGTAGAGTAGAGTAGAGTAGAGTAGGGAATGGGAATGGGAATGGGAATGGATTAGAGTACAGAGTAGAGTAGAGTAGGGAATGGGAATGAGAATGGACTAGAGTATAGAGTAGAGTAGGGAATGGGAATGGGAGTGGGCTAGACTAGTATAGAGTAGAGTAGAGTAGGGAATGGGAATGGGAATGAGAACGGGCTAGAGTATAGAGTAGAGTAGAGTAGAGTAGAGATGGGAATGGGAATGGACAGGGTAGAGTATAGAGTAGAGTAGAGTAAGTAGGGAATGGGAATGGACTAGAGTATAGAGTAGAGTAGGGAATGGGAATGGGAATGGGCTAGACTAGAGTATAGAGTAGAGTAGAGTAGGGAGTGGGAATGGGAATGGGAATGAGAACAGGCTAGAGTATAGAGTAGAGTAGAGTAGAGTAGAGTAGAGTAGAGATGGGAATGGAACACGGTAGAGTATAGAGTAGAGTAGAGTAGAGTAGAGTAGAGTAAGATAGGAATGCGAATGGGTATAGAGTAGAGATAGATAGAGTAGAATAGAATAGAATAGAATAGAATAAATAGAATAGAATAGAATAGAATCGAATCGAATCGAATAGAATCGAATCGAATCGAATCGAATCAGAATTCTTTATTGGCCAAGTGTGATTGGACACACAAGGAATTTGTATTCGGTGCATAAGCTCTCAGTGTACATAAAAAAATGCATTCATCGTAAATCATAAGCTACAGCACTTAGTGATAGTCATAGGATACTAAATAAGTAATCAAAATCATACTAGGAAACTAAATAAAATAATATAAATCATAAAGATACAAGCAATGAGGTTATAGTCATTAGTGGAAGGATATAGGTAACACGAAGGATGAGAAGAATAATAATATAGTCTTAGTAAATAATTTGACAGTGTTTTGAGAATTATTTGTTTAGTAGAGTGATGACACATGGGGGAAAAAACTGTCCTTGTGTCTAGTTGTTCTGGTGTGCAGTGCTCTATAGCGTCGTTTTGAGGGTAGGAGTTGAAACAGTTGATGTGCAGGGTGTTAAAGGGTGCAGGTAGCTCTCGACTTACAACAGTTCATTTAGCGACCATCTAAACTTGCAACTGCATTTTTAAAAAAGCGACTTATGACCGTTTTCCACACTTACGGCCATTGCAGCAGCCCCGTGATCAAAATTCAGATCACGGCTTGGCAACCGACTCACATTTATGACCGTTGCAGCATCCAAGAGTCACGCGATCCCTTTTTTGTGACCTTCAGACAAGCAAGGAGTCTGATTCTTTTCCAGTGGGACCCATTTTAATTCCACTCTCCAAAAAAAAAGAACAACCCCAAAGCTTTTGGGGCTGCAAATAGGAATATTGCTCTCCCTAGTCTGGGGCTCTCCAGAGCTGCTGGACTGCAAAAACCATAATCCCCAATATTGTGGGAACTGTAGTCCAACACTATCCTGAAGCTGGAGGAAGGGGCCTCTGCACGTACAGATGTCTGCTCATGTGTATCTCTCTTTTTTTCCCCCCTTCAAATCTTTATTGTCAGTGCACAATCATTGCTTGATCTCCACATGCCCCGTGTTTATATTCACAGACACGCATCATGCACAGATAACAAGAGAATGAAGATCTCTCTGTTCCACCCTCCACCTGCAGGGGTGCAACAACCCAAGACCTACCTCCCAAGCCCCTCTAGGCTTCACCTTTGTGGTCCCAAGCCGGAGAGCCAGCGCCACGATTGGGCGGGGGAAAGGCCAATAAACAGGCCTTCTCTATCCCCAGCGCGGCTCTATGGTAAACGTGGGAGGAGGGGGAGAGAGAGAGAGAGAGAGAGAGAGAAAAATGGCCGGCGAAAGGCACGCCGGGAACGGTAGTCGGCGGCGCTGGGCGGGAGAGGCGCGGCGCTTTCCCGTCAGGCCCCGCGCGGCGCGACGGGCGGCGGAATGGCGGCGCGCGGCTCGTCGCTGGTGGAGGCCGTGCTGGCCTGCTCGGGGCGCCCGGAGAAGGAGGGCCTGAGCGGCCGCCTCGCCCGCCTCTCCAGCCGGGCTGAGGAGCTCAAGGTGCGCGGGGGAGAAGGGAGGAGGGGAAAAAAAAAAAAAAAAAAAGCAGCGCCCAGAGAGGGGGAGGGGCTTAGCTGGGCCACGCCCCCTCTGGCGAAGTGGGGCGGGGAGCGCCCTCGCCGAAGGGGGCGTGGCCCAGCTAAGCCCCTCCCCCCTCTCTGGCCCAGAGGGGGCAGCAGGAAAAAAAGGGGAGGAGCAGCCGTGTGGGGCGGGGCTAAAGGCTCCAAGATGACTGCAAATAGGTGCTTATTGCTCTCTGAGCCTGGTTGGGTTTCCTTGCAGGCGTCTCATGGCCCAACTAGGGAACATCATCAGTGCTACAAGAGAGGGGGGGGAAGAAGAGGAGGAGGATTGTGGGTTCCTTGGTGGTCTCTGAGTTTGGAGGTTTTCTTGCAGACGTTTCATGACCCAACTAGGTAACATCATCAGTGCTAGAAGGGAGTAGGGGATTGTGGAGAGGAGGAGGGGGAGGAGGAGAAGTGGAGTCCTTGGTGCTCTCTGAGCTTGGTGGTTTTCTTGCAGACGTTTCATGACCCAAGTAGGGAACATCTTCAGTGCTAGAAGGGGGGGGGAGGAGGGAGAAGAAAAGGAGAAGAGGAGGAGGAAAAGGACGGAAGGAAGGAAGGAAGGACTGACTAAGGGGTCCTTGGTGCTCTCTGAGCTTGGTTGGGTTTCTTGCAGGCATCTCATTACCCAAGTAGCTATCATCAGCGCTAGGGAGGAGGAGGAGGAGGATGAGAAAGGAGAGGAGGAGGAAGATGACTATGGAGTTCTTATTGCGCTCTGAGCCTGGTTGGTTTCCTTGCAAGCGTCTCATGACCAAGTAGGGAACATCATCAGTGCTAGTAGGGAGGGAGGGTTGCAGGGCGGGAGGAGGAGGAGGAAGATGACTATGGCGTCCTTACTGCTTTCTGAGTCGGGTGGTTTCCTTGCATATGTCTCAGGACCCACCTAGAGAACATCATCAGTGCTAGAAGGGGGAGTGGGTTGCAGGGACGAGGCGGAAGATGACTGTGGGGTGCTTATTGCTCTCTGAGCTGTTTGGGTTTCCTTGCAGGCCTCTCGTGACCCAAGTAGGGAACATCTTCAGTGCCAGTAAGGAGGGGGGTTTGTGGAAAGGAGAAGGACTAAGGGGTCCTTGGTGCTCTCTGAGCCTAGTTGGGTTTCCTTGCAGGCGTCTCATTACCCAGAGTAGGTATCCTCAGCGCTAGAAGGGAGTGTGGGGTTTGTGGAGAGGAGGAGGGGGAGTTGCGGGGAGGAGGACAACTATGGGATCTTTGATGCTCTCTGAGCTTGCTTGTTTTCTTGCAGATGTTTCATGGCCCAAGTAGGGAACATCATCAGTGCTTCGAAGGAGAGGAGTTTGCTCTAAGTTTATATTCAAATAGTTTGCCCTGTCAGTGATAGTTGGGTGGTCTTAGAGGTTCTTTGGTTGGGCTCTTTACTGTTGGCTTGTTTGGCATTGGGGGGATTGTTTATTTGATTGTTAGTCTGATGTTAATCTTGGTGTCCCACTAGTCACTTCCTCCTTTGCACCCCCCCCCACCTTTCCAGGAGGAGGTGTGCAGCATGATCAACCAAAGGTATGTGGAGTTCCTGCCCAGCGTGCAGAGTGCCAAGGACCTGGAGAGCCAAGTGGAGGAGCTCTCGGCCGGCATCGACCAGCTGAGATCCAGGATCGAGAACGAGGTGAGGACCGTGGAGGAACCTGCCTTGGCTAAAGAAGTCCCATAGAGAGGGGCGGGGGCGCTGAGCCCGGTCATGCGTTGTATTCATAGTTATTGAGAAAGGTATTTTTACCCCGGCTGCTGTGTTTGGTTTTTCCTGCTGTTTATATTTTTTAAAATATAGATTCGCCAGAGCCATTATTTTGAGATAGGCAGCCATATAAATCGAATGAATGAATGAATAAATAATTAGGGTATGGAAGTGCTCCTTTCCTCCCTCCCTCTAGCCCAGAGGTCTTCAAACTTGGCAGCTTTAAGACTCCCAGAATTCTGTCTTAGAGTCGCCAAGGTTGGGAGACCAGAGCTCCAGATCTTCCTTCCATTTCACTTTTCCATTTTCTTGCGAATGGCAGCTGGTATCTCAGATTGTTCCTCTTAAAGTAACCTTAGAGGACACCTGTGGTAGTAGTCTAATTAAATTATTATATTCCGATTTATATTCGTAAGGCAGGTTGGAATGAGATCCGATGGCATGGGTGACCAGCCTACCATTAATCATTCATGGGGAGTTTAGCAACTTTTAACATGTGTAAATTTCACATCTCCAGCCAGCATAGCTTGGCAGCTTTAAGACTTTAAGCATAGCTGGCTGGAGAATTCTGGGAGTTGAAGTCCACAAGTCTTAAAGCTGCCAAGTTTGAAGAGCTCTGCTCTAAGCCTTTCTGACTGTCACGTTGTATGTGCCTCCTAAAACAAGCAGAAATCTCAATTTGATTAATGCGCCCTTCTCCGAGACTCAGGACGGCTTACAATGCGCTAAGCAATAGCCTTCATCCTTTTGTATATTATACAAAGTCAGCTTATTAAACTGGGTCCTTTCAATTGCCCCACAACTGGGTCCTTGCCTACTAAGGGAGGTTCTTTTTTGTAAACCAAAGAGATTTAATGGGGTTTCCTCAGGTCCAGCAAGACCTCAACGTGGCCATCGCAGACTTTGCTGACCTGAAGCAGCAGCTGGAGAGGGAGATGCTTGTTCTGAGCGTGTTGAAGCAGCTCCAGGAGGTAAGACAGAGGGGGAAGCTCAGCTCCCCTGCCTGTTTTGGGACCGT